AAAACATCTGCAAGATGTCAGAGCATTCCGTTTTGTAGTTCCTGATTAAATCAATAAAATATATTTACGCATTCATTAATTTTTTTGAGTCACTCTGTATATGCAAATCCAAAAAATATGAATGGAGTGATAGATCACAAGTACAGGCTCACCATATTTTGTACATTTTAGATATGATTAATTCGGCAAACTTTCGAGCTGACGTCATCAAGTTTTTGGAGGGGATAAGCAAATATATTTCGACTAAACATTTATTATGCTCTTTATGACCTTAAAACATCTGCAAGATTTCAGAGCATTCGGTTTTGTAGTTCCTGATTAAATCAATAAAATATATTTACGCATTCATTAATTTTTTTGAGTCACCCTGTATATGCAAATCCAAAAAATATGAATGGAGTGATAGATCACAAGTACAGACTCATCATATTTTGTACATTTTAGATATGATTTATTCCACAAACTTTTGAGCTGACGTCATCAAATTCAAAATTAAATTGCAAAATGTTGTTGTATGATTTTGATTTTTTTTCCAAAAATCTGGACGTTTCGGGTAAAAACTCAATTCGGAGTCGTAAACTAGATGTGTAGGACTCTATAATTTTATACAATTTAAAACCCATTTACTATGTACAATTTTCAAGTGACGTCATCGCATTTGTGGTGGAGATGACTAGACAAATTCTGGTTAGCATTTTACCATCTGCATGATATTCCTAATATAAGTACAAAATTTCACAACAATCGGTCGGACAAACGGACAGACGGACAGACGGACAGACAGACGGAAATGGGAGACCTATTTCTTCGTCTTCTAGGGGTCATGAAAGATCGAGAAAACGTAAAAGTAGAGAGTCGGCCGACGGACTCGATTACAATACTTCCTTTGCTTACGCTCGGGAAGTAATTAATGAATGCGTGAATTTATTTTATCGATTTAATCAGGAATTACAAAACCGAATGTTTTGAAATCTTGGGAATATGTATTTTAAAGTTATTATAAGCATGGTAAACTTTTGTTCAAAATGTATTTGTTCATCCCTCCTAAAAAAATTGATGACGTCACCCTTAAATTTTGCTGAATAAATCCTATCTAAAATCCAAAAAATATGGTGAGTTTGTACTTGTGATTTATCATTCCATTCATATTTTTTAGATTTTCTTAAGAGGTGGTTCAAAAAAATTAATGAAGTCAATTTATTTTATTGATTAAATTAAAGGCAACACTTATTATTAGTATTACACCCCAACCAACCCAATTTGGTAGACACAAAATTTGTTAAAGGAAAAACTCGGTTGAAACACGCTTATTTGCATCGACATTAACATTACAGACCTGCATTTGTTTTATGCGCTCACTTGGTTCCGCGAATGTGGAATAGACATGTTTATAATTAACCAATTGTGAATTTCACCGTCAAGAATTAAAATAAAACCCAATGTTTCATATAATAAGCGGAAGTCGAAGCAATTAAACCGATGGTCGTTTTGTTTACAGTTTCTCTGTTTGACTCTCACGTATGCTGTTACGCTAGTCATCTTAAATTAAGAATGTTTATACATAAACGATTTTCAGTTGCCCCTCATATTACTAGACAGCGGATTTCTGTCGGGCTACGTCACGATTATAGGGGGGGGGCGTGCTGGATTCCATAAATATAATTAACGATTTATTAATCAAACTGCTAAGTAAATGAGAACGGGAATTAACAGCAGAGTGCAACGAAACAGCGTTATTCTAATCTCAAATAAACGAAGTGCAGTCCGCAACCGCAATGAATTCGCATCCCGTACGAGCCGTACCGAGTTTGGCCTTGCCTAGCCCGACAGAAATCCGCTCTCTAGATATTACACACCGGCGCCGTATACGTGAGTAAATTGTTTCGTTATTTTATTGATTATAAGAAATCAATATTCAAAACGACCCAATTCATTTTCCCGAAAATTTGGGAATACAATAATTTTATTCTTAGTATTACACTACATCTATTCCAAATGATATACGTGTCCTTGCAAAAATGTTGATGTCGTCATCACAATTTTTTTTTAAATTCCCACTACAAAAATGTAGTGAGAAAAAAAAACACAATAGGCATGCAGTCGCCAAGTTTCCGACAGCGAGGGAAGTACTGTCTAAACTCTTTAGACCAATTTTTTTGGGCGATTTTAATATCTCTGAATACGTTGAATGTGCAAAAAAACGGAAGACATCTAATTTATTCAATCTTTATAATAATTTTATTTCTTTAAATAGCATTAAACAACACAACAGTATTACCAATACACATACAAGGATATTAGACATTTTTACTTCCCGAGCGTAAGCAAAGAAAGTATTGTAATCGAGTCCGTCGGCCGACTCTCTACTTTTACGTTTTCTCGATCTTTCATGACCCCTAGAAGACGAAGAAATAGGTCTCCCATTTCCGTCTGTCTGTCCGTCTGTCCGTCTGTCCGTCGGTCCGTCTGTCCGTTTGTCCGACCGATTGTTGTGAAATTTTGTACTTATACTAGGAATATCATGCAGATGGTAAAACGCTAACCAGAATTTGTCTAGTCATCTCCACCACAAATGCGATGACGTCACTTGAAAATTGTACATAGTAAATGGGTTTTAAATTGTATAAAATTATAGAGTCCTACACATGTAGTTTACGACTCCGAATTGAGTTTTTACCCGAAACGTCCAGATTTTTGGAAAAAAAATCAAAATCATACAACAACATTTTGCAATTTAATTTTGAATCTGCTAACCCGAATGTTTTAAAATGTTGCAGATGTTTTAAGGCTCTAAAGAGCATCATAAATCTTTAGTCAAAATATGTTTGGTTATCCCCTCCAAAAACTTGATGACGTCAGCTCAAAAGTTTGCGGAATAAATCCTATCTAAAATGTACAAAATATGATGAGTCTGTACTTGTGATTTATCATTCCATTCATATTTTTGGATTTGCATATACAGGTAACTCAAAAAATTAATGAATGCGTGAATTTATTTTAATCAGCAATTACAAAACCGAATGCTTTGAAATCTTGGAGATATTTTAAAGTTATTATAAGCATAGTAAACTTTTGTTCAAAATATTTGTTCATCCCTCCTTAAAAAATTGATGACGTCACCCTTAATTTGGCTGAATAAATCCTATCTAAAATGCAAAAAATATGATGAGTTTGTACTTGTGATTTATCTATCATTCATTCATATTTTTTAGATTTTCTTAAGGGGTGGCTCAAAAAAATTAATGAAGTCAATTTATTTTATTGATTAAATTAAAGGCAACACTTATTATTAGTATTACATTGGACCAACCCAATTCAGTAGACACAAAATTTTTTAAAGTAAAAACTCGGTTGAAACATAAGGGTAGCACGCTTATTTACATCGACTTTAATATTACAGACGCGCATTTGTTTTGTGCGCTGACAGGGTTCCGCGAATGTGGAATAGACATGTTTATAATCAACCAATTGTGAATTCCACCGTCAAAAATTAAAATAAAACCCAATGTTTTATATAATAAGCGGAAGTCGAAGCAATAAAACCGATGGTCGTTTTGTTTACAGTTTCTCTGTTTGACTCTCACGTATGCTGTTACGCTTGTCATCTTAAATTAAGAATGCTTATACATACACGATTTTCAGTTCCCTCTCATATTACACGCCGGCGCCGTATACGTGAGTAAATTGTTTCGTTATTTTATTGATTATAACAAATCAATATTCAAAACGACCCAATTCATTTTCCCGAAAATTTGGGAATACAATAATTTTATTCTTAGTATTACACTACATCTATCTCAACTGATATACGTGTCCTTGCAAAAATGTTGATGACGTCATCGCAATTTTTTTTTTAAATTCCCAATACAAAAATGTAATGAGAAAAGAAACACAATAGGCATGCAGTCGTCAAGTTTCCGACAGCGAGGGAAGTACTGTCTAAACTCTTTAGACCAATTTTTTGTGAATGATTTTGGCTGCGTTGTCGTGTCTAGCTTTGTAGTCAGGTTGTGCCAGGATGCTGCAGGAGGAGATTATGTGCGCTATCGTTTCAGGTTTTGCTTTGCAGAGGCGACAGAATTCGTTTCTTATGTTCGGATCTTTGATGATGTATTTTCTGTAATTCTTGGTATTGATTACTTGGTCTTGAATAGCAAAGACAAATCCTTCTGTTTCGGCATAAAAACTTGATTTTTTTTAACCAAATCAATGACATCTTCTTGTTGACATGAGTTTCTTCTAAGTCTTTGTAGAATTGTCCATGTAGTTGTTTTTGTTTTATCCCACTTATTATTTTGTCTATTGTGTGGGGGGTGTGGATTTCTTCGGTGTTCGACAGATTTAAGGGTGTGTGGTTCAAATCTGCTCTTGTGATGGTGCGAAACATTTCATTTCTTTCTGCTCGTTTCAAAAAATACTTCTTCAGATCTGAGATTTGTCTCTGATATAAGTTTTCTAGGTTTTGGAAACCCCTTCCTCCATTCTGTCTTGGTAATGAGAATCTTTCAGTGGACGATTTTGGATGATGCCTTCTATACTGTGTGAAGATTTTCCTTGTTGCGATGTTTAAATTTTCAAGATCAGTTTTGGACCATTTAATGACTCCAAAATAATATGTTAGCACTGGAACGCAGAATGTATTTACTGCTTTCATTAAATTTTTTCCATTTAACTGTGTCTTCAATATTAATTTTAATCTCGCTAGGTATTGATCTTTCAACTGTGTTTTCGTTTTGGTGTGATTGATGTGGGAGGATTGACAGAAACCCAGATATTTGTATGTATCATAATCAATGCCTATCATTACTTGGTCTTAATACTCGTAATGATAGAAGTCTTGCCTGAATGCCGGTCATTTCCTAGTCAGTGGTGGGTCTTAATAATAACTTTATTTTCCTATAGGCCTTACGTCCAAATACAGGTAAAAAACAAAGAGAAAACAACTTAAATAAAACAGCATTGTACATAATGTTTAGTAAAATAAAAAAAAACATGTATAATATAATATGTAAGTATAATAATGATAATAACTCCCCTCTACATAATTACTTACAATCTAAAACTAATACCTATAAACAGAATAAGTCAAGTATATTAATTAAATTAATGTATAACCGAAAATTTATTTTTGGTCTTATTTATAACGCTGGACTTATTGTCAAAGAAAATATCACTTCCATTACCATATATATTAACGTTAGTCCTCATGATGTATAAAGGGCTTCTTTTTATAATGCTTGTGCGTGGTATCCTTAGATAGAAACTCTCTTATGACCGGAACATAAGATGCCATGTGCAAGCCTTTACTGAAAAACCAGAACGGAATTTCTTTAGTAATAACAGACTTGACGTTTGCTTTAATTGCATTCTGAATGCACTTTATTCTTGCATTGACAATTTCTTGAATCTTGGGCCCCATGTGTTTCAGCTTAAAAAGTTTTTTAGTATCATCTTGTACGCTTTTGGCAGTGATCTCTTCTCCGTCTTGAAATTTCTTATTTTCGTTAAGAAACTTTATCAATTCATCGTGCTTTTTTAAAGCGCTCTCTAGATTGAAAACGACTTTGGAATTATCTTCGCTTCCAAGACTCCTCATGCTGAAAACACAATTATCTAGTTAATAGTTTTAGAAAAAAAAAAACTGAGCGAAAGTAATTTAGAGCGAACTTTCTTCGACATAGAGAAAATAAGACAAAAGACAGACGGTAGGAAACGGAAGAACGTAAGTACCTTTCAAGTGATAAGTTGAGGTACTCCCTGTAAGTATCGTATGCAGTTGTGATGAAATTGTTTTCCAAAAAATGCGCAAACTTCGCAGTATAATTGCTGATGCACTGCTCCTCCTCGATGAGTTCGTCTTTTTCCTGCACCAAGCTCTTCATGAGTTCATCGCGCTGTTCTTTTTCGCTCTTGTGAGTTGTCTGCACACTTTCGTCCACGATCTGCTTTTTCACAATTTTAGTTTCGTAGTAGATATTCATGTGTTTCGAACCAGAACATTTGCATTGTTTACAAATAAAATCAAGAAAACCAATTACGCTGCAAAACCTGAGACTCCAATGTCCCATTTTTTCGTAGTTAATTATTCCTATCCAACACGGATCCAGACATTTTGTTTTATACCGAAACTTTGTCATGTTTCCGACCTGGAAAATGTGTTACTTGTACACACAGTCAGAAGATGCAGCCAACAGAGATTTTTCTTACCTCGACGGGCTCGACACAACTCAAATTTGTACAAACCAAAACCGGATGGTCGAGAGGAACTATTTCCAAGTCGACGGTTGGTTTATATCGTTTTTTCTTCAGTTCAGTGATGCTTAAGTTTGTTTCCTTCAATTCTTCCTCCTTGTTTTGGAGTTCTATGATCTTTTGTTGTAAGAGCTGAAAAATGTCCGACAACGGTTTCGATAATCCAAGAATCAAATTCTTCATTTTGTTAAGGCTGACGGTGTGCCTTACATCATGAGGCTCCAGTGTTGCTATGTGAACCATGAATCTAAAAAATTAACCAGAAATGATTTTTTTATTGTTGCAGCGATAACTCAGTTATAAAAATGCGAGTACATTTTTATTCGAAAAAGCGACCAGGATAGATTTGATAGACGAATTATATAAAAATTAAACTTGGTCTTCGGAAGAGCTATTGTGGATGATCTGGAAAAGCTATCAGATTTATAAATCAGATTTGTATATCTAAATATAAAAATCTGATAACTCATAGGAAACTTGGAATACTTGTGACTTCTCGTAATAATTATAACGTAATAATGTTCGTGAAAACCAAATGAAGTGAACTTAAAAATAATAATTGGTCGAAGGTTGCTTCGAAAGAATTTCCCTCGCCCCTGAAGCACGTCCCAAAAAATCCCGCTTCTTTGAAAAATTATATACATTTTTTGCGACTTCCCACGCTCCTGAAGTACAATGAAACATATCCAGCATTTTCAAAAAATTGGTCTAAAGAGTTTAGACAGTACTTCCCTCGCTGTCGGAAACTTGACGACTGCATGCCTATAGTGTTTTTTTTGTCATAACATTTTTGTAGTGGGAATTAAAAAAAAAAATTGCGATGACGTCATCAACATTTTTGCAAGGACAAGTATATCAGTTGGGATAGATGTAATGTAATACTAAGAATAAAATTATTGTATTCCCAAATTTTCGGAAAAATGAATTGGGTCGTTTTGAATATTGATTTGTTATAATCAATAAAATAACGAAACAATTTACTCACGTATACGGCGCCGGTGTCTAATATGAGAGGCAACTGAAAATCGTTTATGTATAAACATTCTTAATTTAAGATGACAAGCGTAACAGCATACGTGAGAGTCAAACAGAGAAATTGTAAACAAAACGACCATCGGTTTTATTCCTTCGACTTCCGGTTATTATATAAAACATTGGGTTTTATTTTAATTTTTGACGGTGGACTTCACAATTGGTTGATTATAAACATGTCTATTCCACATTCGCGGAACCTAGTCAGCGCATAAAACCAATGCACGTCTGTAATGTTAAAGTCGATGTAAATAAGCGTGCTACCCTTATGTTTCAACCGAGTTTTTACTTTAAAAAATTTTGTGTCTACCAAATTGGGTTGGTCCAATGTAATACTAATAATAATAAGTCTTGCCTTTAATTTAATCAATAAAATAAATTGACTTCATTAATTTTTTTGAGCCACCTCTTAAGAAAATCTAAAAAATATGAATGGAATGATAAATCACAAGTACAAACTCATCATATTTTTACTTCCCGAGCGTAAGCAAAGAAAGTATTGTAATCAAGTCCGTCGGCCGACTCTCTACTTTTACGTTTTCTCGATCTTTTATGACCCCTAGAAGACGAAGAAATAGGTCTCCCATTTCCGTCTGTCTGTCCGTCTGTCCGTCCGTCTGTCCGTCTGCCGTCCCGGATTTTTATTAGACAGATAATCTCCGAAAGTACTCGACCGATTGTTGTGAAATTTTGTACTTATATTAAGAATATCATGTAGATGGTTAAACGCTAACCAAAATTTGTCTAATCATCCCCACCACTAATGCGATGACGTCACTTAAAAATTGTACATAGTAAATGGGTTTTCAATTGTATAAAATAACATAGTCCTACACATGTAGTTTACAACTCCGAATCGACTTTTCACCCGAAACGTCCAGATTTTTCGAAAAAAAATCAAAATTATAAAACAACATTTTGAAATTTAATTTTTAATCTGCTAACCAGAATGCTTTGAAATGTTGCAGATGTTTTAAGGCTATAAAGAGCATCATAAATCTTTAGTCAAAAAATATTTGCTTATCCCCTCCAAAAAATTGATGACGTCAGCTCAAAAGTTTGTGGAATAAATCATATCTAAAATGTACAAAATATGATGAGTCTGTACTTGTAATTTATCACTCCATTCATATTTTTTGGATTTGCATATACAGGGTGACTCAAAAAAATTAATTATTGTGTAAATATATTTTATTGATTTAATCAGGAACTACAAAACCGAATGCTCTGAAATCTTGCAGATGTTTTAAGGTTATAAAGAGCATAATAACTGTTTAGTCAAAATATATTTGCTTATCCCCTCCAAAAACTTGATGACGTAAGCTCGAAAGTTTGCCGAATATATCCTATCTAAACTGTACAAAATATGATGAGTCTGTACTTGTGATTTATCACTCTATTGATTTTTTTTGGATTTGCATATACAGGGTGACTCAAAAAAATTAATGAATGCTTAAATTTATTTTATTGATTTAATCAGGAACTACAAAACCGAATGCTTTGAAATCTTGCAGATGTTTTAAGGTTATAAAGAGCATAATAAATTTTTAGTCAAAATATATTTGGTTATCTTCTACAAAAAACTGATGACGTCAGCTCAAAACTTTGCCGAATAAATCGAATCTAAAATTTACAAAATATGATGAGTCTGTACTTGTGATTTATCATTCCATTCATATTTTTGGATTTGCATATGCAGGGTGACTCAAAAAAATTAATGAATGCGTGAATTTATTTTATCGATTTAAGCAGGAATTACAAAACCGAATGCTTTGAAATCTTGGAGATATTTTAAAGTTATTATAAGCATGGTAAACTTTTGTTCAAAATGTATTTGTTTATCCCTCCTAAAAAAATTGATGACATCACCCTTAAATTTTGCTGAATATATCCTATCTAAAATGCAAAAAATATGATGAGTTTGTACTTGTGATTTATCATTCCATTCATATTTTTTAGATTTTCTTAAGAGGTGGCTCAAAAAAATTAATGAATAAGTCAATTTATTTTATTGATTAAATTAAAGGCAACACTTATTATTAGTATTACACCCCAACCAACCCAATTTGGTAGACACAAAATTTGTTAAAGGAAAAACTCGGTTGAAACATAAGGTTAGCACGCTTATTTACATCGACTTTAACATTACAGACCTGCATTTGTTTTATGCGATCACTTGGTTCCGCGAATGTGGAATAGACATGTTTATAATCAACCAATTGTGAATTTTACCGTCAAGAATTGAAATAAAACCCAATGTTTTATATAATAAACGGAAGTCGAAGCAATAAAACCGATGGTCGTTTTGTTTACAGTTTCTCTGTTTGACTCTCACGTATGCTGTTACGCTTGTCATCTTAAATTAAGAATGTTTATACATAAACGATTTTCAGTTGCCTCTCATATTACTAGACAGCGGATTTCTGTCGGCCTACGTCACGATTATAGGTGGGGACGCGCTGGTTCGCCGAGACTCAGTAGCGGGTGATAGATAATCACTGAATTTAATCGGTACTAATTCCATAAATATGATTAACGATTTATTAATCAAACGGCTAAGTAAATGAGAACGGGAATTAACAGCAGAGTGCAACGAAACAGCGTTATTCTAATCTCAAATAAACGAAGTGCAGTCCGTAACCGCAATGAATTCGCATCCCGTACGAGCCGTACCGAGTTTGGCTTTGCCTAGCCCGACAGAAATCCGCTCTCTACATATTACACATCGGCGCCGTATACGTGAGTAAATTGTTTCGTTATTTTATTGATTATAACAAAATCAATATTCAAAACGACCCAATTCATTTTCCCGAAAATTTGGGAATACAATAATTTTATTCTTAGTATTACACTACATCTATCCCAACTGATATACGTGTCCTTGCAAAAATGTTGATGACGTCATCGCAATTTTTTTTTTAATTCCCACTACAAAAATGTAATGAGAAAAAAAACACAATAGGCATGCATTCGTCAAGTTTCCGACAGCGAGGGAAGTACTGTCTAAACTCTTTAGACCAATTTTTCCATTTTAGATAGGATTTATTCAGCAAAATTTAAGGGTGACGTCATCAATTTTTTTAGGAGGGATGAACAAATACATTTTGAACAAAAGTTTACCATGCTTATAATAACTTTAAAATATCTCCAAGATTTCAAAGCATTCGGTTTTGTATTTCCTGATTAAATCGATAAAATAAATTCACACATTCATTAATTTTTTTCAGTCACCCTGTATATGCAAATCGAAAAAATTTGAATGGAATGATAAATCACAAGAAGAGACTCACCATATTTTGTACATTTGAGATAGGATTTATTCAGCAAAATTTTGTGGTGACGTCATAAATTTTTTAGGGGGGGGACGACCAAATACATTTTGATCAAAAATTTACCATGCTTATGATAATTTTAAAACATCTTCAAGATTTCAAAGCATTCGGTTTTGTAGTTCCTGAGTAAATCAGTAAAATAAATTTTGCGCATTCATTAATTTTTTTGAGTCACCCTGTATATGCAAATCCAAAAAATATGAATGGAGTGATATATCACAAGTACAGACGCATCATATTTTGTACATTTTAGATAGGAATAATTCGGCAAACTTTTAAGCTGACGTCATCAAGTCCTTGGAGGGGTAACCAAATATATTTTGACTAAAGATTTATAATGCTCCTTAAAGCCTTAAAACATCTGCTACATTTCAAAACATTCGGATTAGCAGATTCAAAATTAAATTGCAAAATGTTCTTTTATAATTTTGATTTTTTTTCCAAAAAACTGGACGTTTCGGGTAAAAACTGAATTCGGAGTCGTAAACTACATGTGTAGGACTATGTTATTTTATACAATTTAAGACCCATTTACTATGTACAATTTTGTCATCGTATTAGTGGTGGGGATGATTAGACAAATTTTGGTGAGCGTTTTACCATCTACATGATATTCCTAATATAAGTACAAAATTTCACAACAATCGGTCCAGTACTTGCGGAGATTATCTGTCTAAGAAAAATCCGGGATGGCAGACAGACGGACAGACGGACAGACGGACAGACGGACGGACAGACGGACAGACGGACGGACAGACGGACAGACAGACGGAAATGGGAGACCTATTTCTTCGTCTTCTAGGGGTCATGATAGATCGAGAAAACGTAAAAGTAGAGAGTCGGCCGACGGACTCGATTACAATACTTCCTTTGCTTACGCTCGGGAAGTAAAAATTATAAAATTTTTATTTTTTGATAACCCTTCGAAGTTAAAATAGAGATATGATATTTTGTGATGACTTGATCAACATTTTTCCGAGATCACATATTTTAGTTTGGATAAATGCAGTATAATTGTCCGTTGGTGGGGATGTTTATCTAAATTTTAGTTAGCGTAAGTATTTCCATCTTCACGGTATTCCTAACACACAGTAGCAGACAAACAGATGGACACGGGAAAACATAAAAATAGTTTACGCTCAGAAGGTAAAATACAGTTTTCAAGGCGTAGCAACGCGCGCCGGGTACAGCTAGTTTTTAATAATTATACAAGTAGAGGAGGTTATTTGAGTATTGCATAATCAATATCAACATTGGGCCAGTTTACAAGAACGGGGACGGCACTATAGAGAATAAACTTCTTTTCACTCGAAATGTCGACATAAACATTATCATTTATCAGTATCTTCCAGATAGATATATTCAAAATAGACTTGAAGTATTGGATTATCGTCAAAAGGTAATATAATATAAATGAACTCTAATGTATAGCTTTATTTTGTTTGTTATTTTGTACATCAATATATGTTATTTCATTGACATATGTGTTGCTTTGACAAGATCCATTTTCAAATTAACCATCGACTAATGCGTGCAACCAATCCAAAGGCATAAAAATGTTAATTTTGACCAATAGCAAACGTTTTCCATTAATTAAACACAACTCCACCTTTAATCAGTGATTAAACGTAACCTTACCTTAATTTATTCACTGTCAAACTTGACACTTTAAAAGCCAAAATGTTGATAATCTAATAAAAATTTAATTATTGATTTTGTTTTATGCATTAATCCTCCGAATACGAGTATAGTTAATTCAAACTATTCATATAGTCATTTAAATTTTCAAGTTTAACCCCCAAATTTTCACTCACCTGAGATAATTTTTTATTTAAACGAATAGTACTTATTTGTAATTATTAAGATGCATACCTTCGAATTTCGTCGGAAGAATAGGTCCAGCTTCTCTGACAGCTATTCATCGTCTCTATGGCCAAATTTACCTTTTTCTCTAACGCCAGCAACAGTTTAAAAGATTCGTTGTCGATACAAAAAATGTTATCCTTTGATATGGAAATATTCTCCCTGATTTTTTTCGTCATATCTATCAAAATGGGCAGCGTAGAACCTGGGTTGTAATCATTGCTTTTGGTATTCGTAAACAGAAAAACCACGTTCTTGCAGGCGCTCTTGTGAAACTGCGACAAGATCCGTTTCACACAATATTGAAAAAATATCGTATTCCTCTCGTTCGAAGACTTCATTAATAAACAGATGGCGTTTATATGATTCAGTTGGTCCAGATAGGCTAAGATTTCTTCGCAGTGTTGTTCGTCCTTTTCCACGCTCCCGGTGTCCCCAAAGCCCGGAGTGTCGATCAGGCGGATGAGTCTGTTGTTCGTTGGGAATACGTACGATTTAACTGACTGGGTGGCCGACGAGCCCACCTGTTGTTTTTCGTTGTCATCTTTGCCCACTTTTATCGTTTTCGAGTTGGTTTTCGGATCGTAGATTGTGAATTGTGTTGGTATAAGGACAACTGTTTTCTTTTTTTTGGCCTCGTCGAAGGTTTCGCTGTTCACGTAGTTGGCGAAGGAGTTGATGAATGTGGATTTTCCTACTCCGGTTTCGCCAAGTAGAAGGATGTTGATGGTGTTGGAGTTATCTTCGATGTAGCGATTGGCGCTGGTGTCACAAAGGCCCTGCGAAAAATTCAGTATCTTTGATGCAATTAACGTTTTGAAAAACTAAAGAAGCACAGAATAAAAATGGAAATTGGTGTTTTATTTTGAAATAATATGAAACAATTGTGCGAGAGAGATTATTTCTGAGAGTAATGGCTTCATATTTGTGAAATTTTAGATCTGATTTTGAAAAAAACAATGTAGAAAAATTTTACAATCGTAGAAAGTTCAAATCAAATCCCATGAAATCTTCTGTACGTTTTAAAATTATTATAAGTGTGGTAAATTGTTAGTCAAAATTTATCTGATTATCCTTGTTAAGATAGTGGCACAATGTTTTGAACCAACATAATGGTTTGATAAACTTAGTAGCTCATTGTTAAAAATATTTGTAGATAAAGCACTTAAACCGATTAACATCGGCTTTATTCAACAACTTGTGTAATTCAATTTGAAATATACCTAGACTTCTTTTGCTAAAATAAAATGACATGCCTGTATGTATATACTCGTATTTCTTGAAATAATCCCACCGATTTTTGTGAAGAGATTAATTAATGAATTTGGATTATAGGATTACAGCTAAAGACAATAAGAAAATGTCTGACCAAAATTCCAAGGATGTCGTTTTGATAGTTTCTCTTAAATTTAAGTAGTTTAGACAACAGACGCTAAAAATCAACACATAAAAGTTAAAGCAGCGCTAGTTATCTAAATCTGTCATGACTAAGTTCTTCACTCTTAAAAATTTCCAATTTAAATTTCCAACAAATAGTCAAATCTTCCAAGTCAAGTACATTTTTAAAAATCACTTGACACACTGGTATCCAGTTAATTCGTAAACGAATAATTACTGAGACAAGGATTTGAGATTGATACCAATAGTTATGGCTTAACCACCCTCGTAAGAACCATCCCAATTAAATAAGCTTAACGAAACAAACCGCACTGAGATCGGTTCAGGCGTTTGTGAGCCTAGAGAGAGAGAGAGAGAGAGAGAGAGAGAGAAATAGAGATTGACGAGGGGGTCAAAGTTATAACTACTAGGCGGAAATTTATCTTACGGATGCAATTCCCCAGTTGAAGCAAGGTGTGTTTTACGGCGAGTAGCGGGGACGCTTTGATCTGGTCCACAAGGTCGTAGCCAGTGCGTCGCTAGGAGTGTTTACAGCTTGTTAAAAAACTACTTCTATATTACTACATTACTTCAAATAATAATACTCGATGCCCTTTTTAATTTTTCAAACACAGGACCACATATTTGTGATCTTGAAATGTTATATTATGTTGATATATCTATCGCCTATCGCCGCGACAGCACTGGATCTAGCGTATGAAACACAATTCCGCGCGTTGGTTATAACACACCTCTTTTTGTGTCAGGGATTAAAAAAGACAACTTACCAAATCACTACCTTCATTGGCAGTCTTTTTCTTTTCTTCTTCGACGGTATTAGATGTCGCGAAGTTGGTCGTTTTAGAAACTTTTTTTTCAGCACCGTTGAATGACAGATTCATTTTTTCTTGTAATTTTCTTTCGGGTGGTCGATAACATTTTGAATGATTATTGAAGGTTCTTAGAACATTTGAGGAATGTGCGTAGTTATTATCTTAAGATAAAATTACCCAAGGAGAATTCGTCAGTTATCTAGTTAGTTTTTTTTAACGGAAAAACCCATTTGCGAATATATAATTATTAATTACACATGAACATGACGTACTCGTTGATAAAGAAATGATAGGTAACTTCTTAAACCTTGAATTTAACCAATTGAAAATCCTGATTATCATTTGTGTATCTTTGATTAGCGGCTGCCATCATTTTTCGTAAGAGATTATTTTTTGCAGAATTTGTTTTTGGCAAAAATGAGCTAAATATTTTTTATTACGAGTAGTAGGTACAGCTTCCGAGTGAGTTGTAGATACCCCTATAGTTGTCAATTTTATTAGTTTATTACGCTGCTCTGACTTGAAAAATAAAATTAGTTTTTCACACTTCAGCGAAGACTCTTTCCTTCAGAGATTAAAATAAATTTAACAACGGTAGCGAAAGGATAAATTTGCAATTTTTACTTGTACTGCTGTTTATAACTATGCTCATCCAGGAGTACACGACGATTACAAATTAGAGATGTGACCAACAACATCAGTGAGTGCGATATTTAAACCAACATTGTTAACTTGAGAAGACGCCTCAAAACCACATGCAAATATTCTATAACTAAACATCCTCCACGTATACAGGAGCAAAATACTCCACAGAAATTAACAATATCATCACCTTGCTGATTACTCTCCAAATATCAATTGGTCTAAAATACCTTCATGCCTTTTCTTCTGTCGAACAAACTTGAGAGCACTTGTGATACTGATATTTAACTTAACGCTAAAAATACCGATGTTCAAATACATATTGTATCGAAAGATAAAACAAGTCAATTTGTCTTTTCTAACGTGGGTGGTATCTGTCTGTTGTTTCTCAGGTTAAACCGTGTATCCTCTGCAATTCAAAATGTTTAATCTCGCTGCTGTCGAGGATACGCCCAACACAGTCAACATACTGCTGATGGGCGAAACTGGCGTCGGAAAATCAACTTTCGTCAACTCCTTCGCCAACTACATTCGCACCGACGACTTCGAGAAGGCAAGAAAATTACCAACTCCTCTGGTACTCATCCCCACTCGCTGCACCGTCTACGGCACGAACTCCATGGAAGGCCAAAACCTGACCGTCGGCTTCGACGAGAACGAAACCCAAGACGTAGGTTCCTCTGCCACGCAGTGCGTCAAAAACTATATGTTTCCTTTGGAAGGCGAAAACTTGCTTCTGCGCTTCATCGATACACCAGGACTCGGAGACACGGCGGGTCCTGACAAAGACGACAAACACTGCGAAGCAATTTTGTCGTACTTATCGCAGCTGGACAAGATTAACGCGATTTGTCTGGTGATGAAACCTTTGAATGATAGGAATACGGTGCATTTTAGCTACTGCGTGAGGAGGATTTTGTCGCAGTTGCACAAGAGCGCGTGCGACAACTTAATTTTTTTGTTCACTAATACCAAAGGCAGCGACTATACGCCCGGCAGCACTTTTGCTCTGCTGAAGGAGATGAAGGCAGAACTGGCGTCTAAACCGCCGTTTGTGAACATCCCGTTGGAAAAAAACAACGTCTTCTGCTTGGACAACGAGTGCTTTAAGCACTTGCTGGCTTTGAATTTTAAGATCGAGCTCTTTTCACGCACCCTGGAAAGCTGCGTGACGAGCTGGCAAATTTCCTGCGAGGAAATTGTGAGGTAATTAGATAATAATATAAATATAACAACCAGTTTTTGATCTAAATTAAATAACTATCTACCAGAGGTTTGACGTTTCAGGTTTATCAGATATGTCCAGAATTTGCCGGCCCACAATGTGAAACGGACTATAAGCATCAACGAAACTAAAGAACTTATTCTGAAATTGTCGAAACCGCTGTTCGATATTTGTCAGTTGATGCAGGAAAACATCACCATTCTAAACACGAAAGAACAGGAATCGGCTAGAGCGAACCAAACAATTGAAGAGCTTAAACGAAATTTGTATAAACCTGTAGTCGATATAGAAATTGTAAAACTCGAGAATTCTGCTATGGTTTGCACAGGGTCCAAGTGTGTTGACAAATTAGAGGTAACCACGAATCTCTTCTGGAAAATTTTTAGGCTAAAAGTGAAATGATTTTTAGGTGGGTCAGATCACGAAGAGTGCCTACAGAACGAGATGCCACGAAAAGTGTTTCCTGAGTGCCGTCACGTACGACGTCGTAGGCCATTGGCTTCTTGCGACTTGCAGCAAGATGTATACATTCCGATCTGCGCCTTCCTGCAAGCACTGCGGCTGCTCCTACAAGTTACACATGATAACTTTCTACGATACAAAGCTAGTTGAGAAGTCAGTGTTCAGCGAAGATGTTGTGTCCGATATTGACAGCGAAACGAAGCAGCTCCAAAAACTTCAAGAGTGCATCGACACAATAAAACGGGAAAAAGGCGAACTTCAGCAAGAACTGGATTACATAAGCGAGTGTACTGCGAAGTTTGCGTGTTTTCTTCAAAACAACGCTATAACGTCGTCGTACGACAGCTTCCATGAATACGTCTACTTGTCGCTTCAAAGGTAGAGAACTGTTTTATGTAAAAGAGAACACGTTTTTATTTCATTATTTTAGAGAGAAAAGTCTTGGGGACAGAACTAACCAGGCTGTGGTGAACAATTTGACGGAAATTTTGACCAGACACGAGAATTTGGTGAAGGTACTGAAGGAGAAACTTTCGCGTGATGTCGATCGTACAGAAGTGACAGCAGAAAGTCTCTACAAAGATGCGCAAGAACTCTTTAACCTGAAGCATGCGGGGCCCAAAATTAAGGAAATCTTTGACGCCAGAGCTGCTTGTATGAAGAATGCGGTCAAACCTCCTTTCAAAACTGTTGTGGCTGAGAAAATCCCGAAGTGGTTTTTCAAACGTGGCACAGTGGCACGAACGTGAAAATACATGGCCAAAATTGCTAACAACACTGTCTATATGACCAAAAAAGGACAGGTTCTTTAATTTTTGTAAAGGAATATAGGTAGATATAGAGCACAACAAAGGTCTTTGTAAAATGTTTCTTTTGATATTTCACCCAAATTTCGCTTGTATTGCAATAAAGTTGTTTATCATACACATCTACAAATGTAACTCTATGAAAAAGGAAGAAAATTCCTCGTTTTGTTAAGGCTGACGGTGTGCTTTACATCATGAGGCTCCAGTGCTGTAACGTAATTCATGAATCTAAAAATTAATCCAGAGACGATTTTTTTATTATTACAGAGATAACTCAGCGACCAGGATAGATTTGGTAGATGAGTTATATAAAAATAAAAGTTGACTTTCGAGGGAGCCAATGTGGATGATCTGGAAAAATTATCAGATCTATGAATCAGATTTGTATAACTATAAAAATCTGATAACTCAAGAAGCTTGGAATACTTGTGACTTCTCCTTATAATTATAACGTAATAATGTTCGTGAAAACAAAATGAAGTGAACTTGAAAAAAATTGGTCAAAGGTTGCTTCGACAGAATTTTCCTCGCCCCTGAAGCACATCCCGCTTCTTTGAAAAATTACTTTACTAGAACGGGGACGACAGAGTAGAGAATAATCTTAATAAATTATTCGTCGTCTGAGAATTTGTTTGATCTACAGACCAAAGCACACTCAGGCCAATGTCGACCCTAAGCGTTCGGAAACGATTTGACTTATAAGCCATAATCCGTGATCTGATACACATTCTAACCGGTTTCGACCATAATTTCTACTGTTTCAACTTTCGAATTCTCAGTTTTTCGAAATTTTACTTTGGGGACTCTCCAGTTTACTCCTATTTATTATTCAATTTTTGGATTTTACAATTTCGCAATTTTTCAATTTCTCGGTTTTCAGTTTTTCTCTTCAATTTTACGATTTTTAAATATTTCGATTTTTCAATTTTTCAATTTTTTCAGGTTTCGACTTTTCAACTTCACTTTTTTGATTTTTCGATTTCTCAATTATTAAATTTTTTAATTTCTCAGTTTTGGACATTTCAGTTTTGGGATTTTTCAGTTTACTTCCTATTCAATTTTTCGATCTTACGATTTTGCAGGTTTTTGATTTTTCAATTTCTCGATTTTTTTAAGGTTTCGATATTTCGACTCTACTTTTTGATTTTCATTTTTTCGATTCTTTAGATTCTCAGTTTTGGGATTTTTCATATTTCTGTTCTTCGACTTTTCCAATTTTGACTTCTGGATTTTTCGTTGTGTCGACTTTTTACTTTTTCGATTTTTAAATTTTAGATTTCTCAATTTTTTGGTATTTTAATTTTTCAATATTTAAAATTTTAGACTTTTCGATTTCTCGATTTTTCATTTCATCTCTTCCATATTTCAATTTTTCAAATGTTTCGATTTTTTAATCTTTCGATTTTTCGACTTCCCGGTTTTCGATTTTCAGTTTTTCAATTGTCGTTTTTTCAATTTTTCGATTTTTAAATTGTAGATTTTTCAATTTTTTGATATTTTAATTTTTCAATATTTAAAATTTTAGATTTTCCGATTTTTGGATTTTTCATTTCAGTTCGTCGATATTTCAGTTTTTCAAGTTTTCGAATTTTTCAAATGTTTTGATTTCTTAATCTATCGATTTTTCGACTTCCCGGTTTTAGATTTTCTGTTTTTCAACTGTTTTTTCAAATTTTTGATTTTTCAATTTTTCAAATTTGACATTTATAAACTGTCAATTTTTCGATTTTTCAATTAATCGATGTTTTGATTTTCCCATTTCTTGACTTTCGAGGGTTTCGATATTCCTGTTCTTCAATTCTTTAATTTTTCGATTTTTCAGGTTTTTTATTTTTCATTTTTTAGTTTTTTTAAGGTTTCCATTTTTCAAGTTCACTTTTTGGATTTCTCGCTGGCTTGCCATTTTTCAATATTTCGATTCTTCGACTTTTCGATTTTTGGCTTCTGGAGTTTTCGATGTGTCGATTTTTTTACTTTTTCGATTTTTCAATTTTTCGATTTCTTAATCTTTCGATTTTTCGACTTCCCAGTTTTAGATTTTCTGTTTTTCAATTGTCATTTTGCCAAATTTTTGATTTTTTAATTTTTTAAATCTGACTTTTATAAACTCTCAATTTTTCGATTTTTCAGTTAATCGATGTTTCGATTTACCTGTTCTTCAATTCTTTAATTTTTTGATTTTTCAGGCTTCTGATTTTTCAATTTTTCGATTTTTTAAGGTTTTTATTTTTCGACTTCAGTTTTTTGATTTTTCGATTTTTCAGTTTTTAAATATTTCAGTTTTAGGATTTTTCAACATTTCAATTCTTCGGCTTTTCTATTTTTGACTTCTGGATTTTTCGATCTGTCTACCTTTTTACTTTTTCGATTTTTCAATTTTTGGATTTTTAAATTTTAGATTTTTCAATCTTTTGATATTTTAATTTTTCAATATTTCTTAAGAAGAACAGGAATATCGAAACATCGATTAATTGAAAAATAGAAAAAATTGAGAGTTAATAAAAATCAAATTTGGAAAATTAAAAAATCGAAAATTGGGCAAAATGACAATTGAAAAACAGAAAATCTAAAACCGGGAAGTCGAAAAATCAAAAAATTAAGGAATCGAAACATTTGAAAAATTCGAAAACTTGGAAAAAATTGAAATATCGAAGAACTGAAATGAAAAATCGAGAAATCGAAAAATCTAAAATTTTAAAAATTAAAAAATGTAAAATTCAAAAGTCGAATTTTCGATTTTTGGCTTCTGGAGTTATCGATGTGTCGATTTTTTTACTTTTTCGATTTTTCAATTTTTCGATTGCTTAATCTTTCGATTTTTCGACTTCCCAGTTTAAGATTTTCTGTTTTTCAACTGTCATTTTGCCAAATTTTTGATTTCTTAAATTTGACTTTTATTAACTCTCAATTTTTCGATTTTTCAGTTAATCGATGTTTCGATTTACCTGTTCCTCAATTCTTTAATTTTTTGATTTTTCAGGCTTCTGATTTTTCAGTTTTTCGATTTTTTAAGGTTTTTATTTTTCGACTTCAGTTTTTTGATTTTTCGATTTTTCAGTTTTTAAATATTTCAGTTTTAGGATTTTTCAACATTTCAATTCTTCGGCTTTTCTATTTTTGACTTCTGGATTTTTCGATGTGTCTACCTTTTTACTTTTTCGATTTTTCAATTTTTGGATTTTTAAATTTTTGATTTTTCAATCTTTTGATATTCTAATTTTTCAATATTTCTTAATCTTTCAATTTTTCGACTTCCTGGTTTTAGATGTTCTGCTTTTTAATTTTTCGATTTGTTAATTTTTCATCCCGATATGTCGAGATTTGATTCTTTAGGTTTTCGATTTATAAGTTTTTCAATTTTTTATTTTGGCCTATTTCGGTTTCTCAGTTTTTCTAGTTTTCCAATTTTTCGTTTTTTGATTTTTCCGCTTTCCCAGTTATTCAACTTTTAACTTTTTCTTTGTCGATTTCTCTATTTTTCGATTTTTCGACTTCATCACTTTTCGATTTCTCGTTCTTTTGATCTTTCAATCTCTCAGGGTTAAAAAAGACAACTTACCAAATCACTATCTTGATTTTTTACTCGTTTTAGAAACATTGTTTTCAGCATAAGATTTGTTGGTTAATTGTTTCAGCTTATCATCGGCATCGTTCCGATTTGGGGTGCACCGTTGGGTGGTAGGTACATTGTTTGTTGTACTTTTCTTTTCGGTGGTCGATGACATTTTGAAGAGTTATTGAAGTTTCATAGAACATTTGAGGAATGTGTGTAGTTGTTATCTTAAGATAAAATTAGCCAAGGTGAATTCGTCAGTTATCTAGTAATTTTTTTTTAACGGAAAAACCCGTTTGTGAATATATACTCGTAATTATACATGAACATGATGTACTCGTAAATAAAGAAATGATAGGTAACCTCTTACAGTGATTAGCGGCTGCTATCATTTTTCGTAAGAGATTATTTTTTGCACAATTTGTTGTTGGCAAAAGAATGCTAAATACATTTTTACTACGAGTAGTACAGCTTCCGAGTGACTTGAAAAATGACACTACTGAAATTTTGGTCCACGAATAAAACTTTTAATAATTTTGACCACTGAGTAGGTCTTTTACAAAATTTAATACATGTTAGCACAGACAGTATAAAAATAATCAAATACAATAAACATACTGACGGGCAAAAAACCCGGCCACCCTGAAATATTTATTCATTTTAGTTTTTTAAAGTGGTTTTGCGAATATTTCAAGGCGGTGTATAAAAAGTAAAATTGCAAAATCTAATTCATAAACCAGTTTGGTATCTTTTCGGTAAATATCGACTTCAGCCCAGTTTTGAACCCTTTTTTGGCACAACTAGCCCTCGCTTCAAAAATTTCCTTAATCTTCGGCCCCATATGCTTCAGCTTGAACAGACTTTCGGCATCCCGATAGATACTCTCTTCGGTAATTTTTTCCGCGTTTACACGAGCCTGATTTTCACTTATAGCTTTGATCAGATTTTCGTGACGGCGCAAAAGCTCTGTCAAGTTCACGACGACGTCCATATTGGCTTGATTCCCGAGACTCTTCTGCCTACAAAAACCGACTCAATTGCTACCAAAACCCCTCAACTCCTTACCTTTGAAGCGACAAAAAAATATACTCCTTGAAGTTGTCGTACGACGACGTTATCGCATTATTCTCAAGGAAGTAGGCGAACTTCGCGGCACACTCGCTCACGTACTCCAGCTCCTTCTCGAGCTCCTTCTTCTCCTGCTTGATTTCTCCAATCAACGCTTCTATCCTCTCGCGCTGCTTCTCTTCACTCTGAATGTTCGACAGGACGTCTTCGTCCACCATCTGTTTTTCAACGACTTTAGTATCGTAGAAGATAGTCATGTGTTTCTTATAAGAGCACTTGCAATGTTTACATTCGGGGAAAAAACTAAATGTCATTTCGCTGCAAGTCACGAGACTCCAGTGGCCTATGATTTCGTACGTAAGGTAGCCGAGCAGACAAGGGTCGTGACAGCGTTTTTTGTAAATGAACTTTGTGGTATTCCCGACCTTAAACGAAATGGGTCAAGGTTTTTCCCGACAAGGATTGTAGTGTCTAAGAAGAAATTTTTACCTGGACGGGTTGTATGCAGCTCAGGTTTGTGCAAACTGTAGCAGAGCGGTCCATTTTGATAATTTCGAGGTCTAGACCTGGCTTGTACAGGCTCTTTTTGAGTTCTTCGATCGTCTGGTTTGCTTTACTCGATTCTTCTTCTTTGGTTTTTAGGTTTATGATCTTCTCTTGGAGGAGTTGGCAGATGTCTGACAGCGGTTTAGATAGTTGTAGGATGAGGTCTCTGGTTTTGTTCACGCTGACGGTTTGCTTGACGTTGTGGGGGTCCAATTTCCGGATGTACTTGATAAACCTGAACAATGTGTGAATTTTATTGTCATGATAAGCTAACACTGTGGGTTCGTACCTCACTATTTCCTCACAGGAAATCTTCCAGCTGATCTTACAACTCTCCAGCGTCCTCTCATTCAACTCCACGCCGTACTCCAGCGCCAACAAATGCTTGAAACTCTCATTATCCAGGCAAAAAACGTTCTCTTTCTTGATGGGAATCCTCACGTGCGGCGGCTTCGCAGCCACATCGTCTGCCAACTTCTTCAAAATCGCGAACGTCGCCCCAGGCCTGTAGTCGCTCCCTTTGGTATTAGTGAACAGAAAAACCACGTTATCGCACGCACTCTTGTGCAACTGCGACAAAATCCTCCTGACGCAGTAGCTGAAGAGCACCGTATTGCGATCATTCGACGGTTTCATCAGCAAGCAAATGGCGTTGATTTTATTTAGCTGCGCCAAATACCCCAGGATTCCCTCGCAGTTTTGATCGTCTTTGTCCGGCCCCGCCGTGTCGCCGATCCCTGGAGTATCTATGACCCGGATGACCACGTTGTCGCTCTCCACCGGGAACAAGTAGGTTTTGACGCCCTGTGTCGCCGACGAACCCACGTCCTGCTTTTCGTTCTTGTCGGAGCCGATGGTCAGGCTGCAGTCCTCCATGGAGTTCTCGTCGTAGACGGTGATGCGGGTGGGGATGAGCATGAGGGGTTTGGTTTTTGTGGCGTCGGCGAACGTGGAGAAGCGGATGTAGTTGGCGAAGGAGTTGATAAAGGTGGATTTGCCGACGCCGGTTTCGCCCATGAGGAGGACGTTGATGGTGTTGGGGAGGTCCTCGAGGTCGTCGCAGTCGGGAGGCATTTTGGAGTGCGGCTGTTATTACAGTGAAAAAATAACGATTGCGACAAAACGCGAATGATGAATGGCAAGAGAAGTTCGGGACATCACCGACGAGTTGCCACCCACACGAATAAAAACAAATAGAAAAATTACTTACGGTTGCGTAATGTTGCACTTGAAGGCGCGGAAGCTCTTGGTGGTACGTGGAAGATTGTTAGTTAATTAACGAATAGTGTATTAAAAACTAGGAGCGTTTTTGTTCTGGGTTTTCTGAGTAGTCATTCGTCCGAAGTCGATCGAAGGTTGCGAGTGAAGCTAAATTTAGAATCGGGCCGCTCCCACCAGCCCAGTGTCAAGTTCGTCGGAAAAATGTGCAAATATTATGATTTTCTGTTTGTTAAAATAAATATAGTAAAAATTTGCAAAGATAGGGCTAAAAAGTAGAAAGGTTTTTTGTGAGGAAAGTAATAATTTTTTTTGTTACTTTTAAGTATGCAGGCAGCCGTGCGCGCGTGGATAGTGTGTTGCCTATATTCATAAATTGACGTTTTCGGAAAGGTGTTTAAAAAACGATTTGCTCATTTCACTATTTATTACACGTTAAGAACGTTGTTAATTTTTTTTAAATACAATTAAATTAAGCCATTTTGACATTTATTTCTGGTAATCACATACGCTGTTGATCACTTCTTGCTTGATTCGCGTGTTTTCGATTGCATCCATAAATGCCTTAAGGTCGTCTTCCTTTATATCTGGACCTGCTTGTCGCACTCTTGTTTGCACTTGTTCATACTCCTTTAGCAAATTTTCAAATTTGACTGACCGCTGCGTACCGCTGGAAGCAACAGGATTGTGAAACAAAAAATCGAAATGTGGTGGACACTTACGACAAAAAAGACATTAGCTGTTTTTTGAAAGCGTCGCCTCCCGTTCCGTTCCTTTCTAAAAATATTTCCATCTTAGCTATATTCTCCAAGAAATTTTTATGGATGTCCTCTTGTTGCCTTTCCACTGATTTGAATGCATTTTGGATAAAGTTTTCCTGATTTTTCGCAATCTCTGATATGCGGATGAGCTTCTCTTGCATGTCGTCTTCGGTTCGGGTCTTAAAACACTTTAACTGCCGTGTGGGTCTTTTCTAGGGGTGGGGAGTATTTGACGGAACAGGTATTTCGGAACTGTTACCAACGTGGAACAGGAACAAGTTGTTATCGAAGATTCGAAATAACAGTTATTCGGGATAAATCTGTTCCTTTAAAATAAAAGTCCGCAAAACTGGTTTTATAAGTGAAACTAGCGATTTGCGATGATAAATTTAAATATATAATATAATAATACAATAAATAATAATACATATAAGCAGAAAGGTAAAAAATAGAGAATTATTTGGAATAAAGAATTTTATTTAATAAAGGCACTGTTGTAATTGGATGCAGTGATACAAAATATTCAAGATTTAATATATTTTTTAATTTAGTTTTTTTTTCCAATAAAATAGTAAACTAAGAAATTAGATAACAGCAACGAGAAACAACATATAGGAACGTCAATTTTCTCTTACAGGCTACGTTGGTTATAAATAAAAATTATTAAATCTTTATATTAAATCAAAAAAAATCTTAAGTAACAATTTCAGATTCCGAAGGCAAAATCCGAAGACCAAAATCGTAACGTAACGATAACGAGTACGTAAAGAACAAATAACAGTTTTATCTGTAGCAGAGCCGCATAGTAGGTATACGGGATGAAAGTGTTCTTCCTAGGAAACGCAATAACAAATTGTTCCAGAATCACTGTTATTTGGAACTGTTCCTAAAATGGAACAGTAACAAATTGTTCCTGTTCCTCAAAAAAGTAACAGTTCCCCATCCCTAGTCTTTTCGACGCACACGGCTCGGGTCTAATCGACGCAATGCAATTGTAGCTCTGTGTGTCTGAAACGCGTACAATTCTCGGTGGTTTAAATTATAGCCACTAGATTACATGTAATCTAGTGGCTATAGTTTAAATGCATCACTCGCCTCCTCTGGCGATGGCGTCGTGCAACATTCCCAAAAAATGGCTTACGAAAAAATTATGTTTAGGTAGATAATTAATGGTGTGGAATAGAAAATATTAGCAAAATCAAAATAACTAATTTATTACGTCAAAAAAAACATTAATTTGAAATTTTATGAATAACATAAAAACATTCCTTGCACATATGCGGTTTTTTGAGAAATTCTTGTTAGTTTTCGTACGACATTTTTATAACACAACCACTCGTATCAGTTGCACACACGAAATAAGCACTGACTACAAAATTTGCATGTACCTTCAATATCAGAATGCAACTTGCAAAATCTTGCAAGAACTTGGAAGCTATCGATGCATCACAGTAACGTAATCGTGATGCACGCCTCGCCGTGTGTGACAAATTGTCACACGTCTTTTTCGATTAATTTGATTGATTATTTTGCTTTTTTCATCAAAATATGTCAAAGCTAGACTAGAGAGAATTTATTTTATAAAAAAAATTACATGGCGCAGAATGAAGTTTGAGTAGGTACTCCCGGCAGTTAAAGTGTTAACAAAAAGATAAAATTGTTGTAACGAAAAAGGGTCAATAATTTTTTGAGGTGACGCCAACTTTAAAGAGGGGATGGATAACCGCTACTTAATTTTGAAACCTTTATCATTATCATTACTTTATAAAATTTATCTTAAAGTTAGCTCAGAAACCGGCTTTCTATATAATTTCAAACCATTTTTACGCTAGTCGAGTGATGTTCCTTGCTGACGCCTTTGCTCGATTTTTTTCTCTCGTTTCTATCATTAGAAGACTAAAAACAGTAACACTAAAATATTTTGACATCATTTTTGTGTGTTGTCACTACCGGTTAAGCCGAATCGGAATCGTCGTCGGTTAAAATCGCGTTGTAGCTGCCGTGGTGGGATTTTGAGTCCTTGGATATTTTCTCTTTTAGCACTTCCTGAAAAACAAAACTTGAATCTCCAGTGGTACGACTGTAGTACCAATTTTTATTGGTACTTGTTGTTTTTTACAACCTGTTGAGGACGTGCGCCGAGGCTCCTGAAACTCTTGCTGCGCATGTTTTCTCTTTGTTGGGGATATCCAGGCTGAAACAAAGATTTTCGATAAGGCCTCTTCTTAATTTTTATTGGTACTTGTTGTTTTTTACAACCTGTTGAGGACGTGCGCCGAGGCTCCTGAAACTCTTGCTGCGCATGTTTTCTCTTTGTTGGGGATATCCAGGCTGAAACAAAGATTTTCGATAAGGCCTCTTCTTGATATTCTGGGTTTTTCAAATAAAAGGGTTCTCACTTAACGATTACCAGATAAATATACTCACTTTGCTTCTTGCAAATGTAGACTCATTTAGAGGTAGCAAATTCAACTTTTGCGACCACGGGTTCAAAAACAAGATTGAGGTTATGTACGCAATTTTTGATGTGATTATTTCTCAAAAAATGAATAAATGTGTGCTACTAACATTACTTGAGTATACGCATGGTAGTTGTAGATGGTAGAAGATAAATAATAATAATAATAATAATAATAGTTTATTTTCCAACAGGATTAACCCAAATACAGCGATAACATGATTAATACAGCGACAAGTGTAAACGGTTTTCTTTGTGTTGAAGATTTAGATTAAGTTTGATTAGAAATCAAAATAAAATCATGTTGCGTCAAAAAATTAAACGTTTATTTTTTCAGTTTATTGTCTTATGATTTCTACTAGTGAAAAAATAGTATATTATATTATTAGGTTCTAAAGTGTATCTTTCAGACACTTTAGAACCGAATAATATATACTATTTTTTTTCCAACCGCAATCACGAAACTATTTCGTTTTTGCTTTTGAACAATTAAAATTAACCAAAAACTCGTTGGAAAATAAAGTAGCCTATTTCGATGTAGTCATGGAAAATTTTCAAACATTATCCGCCATATTGCAAATTTGCGAATTAAGTTGCAAGTTAAAGTGAAAATGGATTGTAATAAAGTACCAGAGGATATATTAGAGTGTGCCAAAGAAGTTTCGTTAAATCTTCTTCCCCAGAAACCTCCAGAAGTTTATAAAAGTGCATATCAACGTTTCGTGGAATGGTGTAAAGAAAAAGCAGTTCAAATATATTCTGAGGATGTCCCTATGGTGTATTTCGCAAACTTAGCAAAGAAAGTGAAACCGTCTACGTTATGGTCACAGTATTCAATGTTGCGATCAACATTGCAGATTTTTGGTCCCCACACCCTTCGTGTCGCAAAGTGTCAGTAATTTTCCGTGCCGTCCGACTCGTTAAATTTCAAATTAAAACGGCTGCAAGAGCGATCCACTTACAGTAGTTGTGTTGTACAAGCTCAGACAAGAACCCGTAAAATGGTATTAGTAACAAACATTGAAGGTTAGAGGGCTTTTGTCGCATTTTGGGGCGCCCTCTGGCCGCGAATATTAACTCACTGGTACGCATAAGGATACGAGGTTGCCGGTCTTTTTAAATACATAAGGCCCAATTCTGAATCAAACCCGTTAAAATTTAAAGGTTGTTAAAAAATAAACAGCCAATCAGATTTACGGATTTAACTCGTTACTATGGAAATTTGCAATTTAACACCCTTTAAATTTAACAACTATGATTCAGAATTGCCCCTATAGTCACTGACGCTGGCAATTTTGAGAAGACTTTTCCAATAAATCAATTATAATGCTTTCAAATAACATCACAGTTAAATTGTAAATTTATGTGCTTATTTAAAGTGCAAAAATAAAAGGCCAACGATGTTAACACTAGCGAAGGCATTTATTAACTGACTTATTAGATATGTAAAACATGTAAAAACTAAATTAGCAAAAGAAAAGGTCTCGACATCTGGACGTCGATTTGCCGTGAAACGCCGACAAACACAAAAGGGTCCAGACTTTCAACTCCACAAGTGTCGCACCGGCACTGGGCCAGAGCGTATCTAAAAAATCTGACATATTGCAACAAAATTCGTACGACAATAAACAACATTTTTAACAACTGAACCGCAAGATGCAACTCCATTCCTTTTCACTTGGATAATGAAGGTGAAAGGGTCACAAGCCGACTGTCCGACTTTTCGCAGGATAAAAATTAGTTTTCCAAATTTTGTGAGAATTGAACACAAATAAATGTTGATCAAGGCACACATGAAGTTCTGAAATAATAGTGGAGTGTGTGTTCTTAACATAATCGGATTGACACATGACAGTTCTCGATAATTAATAAACATTAAAATACATACGAATGAATCGTGTCGTTTCTAGCTAGATCACAGTAAGCCAGAACGCCTAATGGGACTCGATCTTGAAATGTGTAGCAATTAGTAACTTTTATGAAATAGAAATATATCTGTGTCCTTGTTACGCTCCGTCTTTTTGACAGCAGGTATTTTTTGCTTCCAGTATCGCGATTCGCGATCCTGTTACTGTCATTTGCCTGTCAGTTGCCTTGCTGGTACTTAACACGTTCTCCACGACTGTTTGCCGGTTGCCGGTGACACTTTCTCGTTGTATAGGGGTGGAGTTATTTTTGGACTGGAATAGTGTTCTTTTCGGTCCGTTGACTCGATAATTCTAGTACAGTCTGTCGTAACCTCAAATCGTAAACATATCAAACTTTCTTTGACAGTTCCTACATTTGATAGCGAAAATTACTAGTCTCGCGCCAGCTTTGTCTAGCACATAGGTTAGGTTCCTCTCTGTCGACCGTCGACCACAGGCAATTTGCCGTACTTTCTAAAGCCGGCCACTCACGGTCCAACGGCGCAGTACGATTTTGCTGGATACGACGAAATCGCAATAATTTGGATGCAATTTGACCGTGTGTATGCACGACCAACAATGCTAAAACGGATTGGACGGCAATTTAAACTTTTTAACTGCAGCAGTACGATTACATCAGACGTATGTCGAAATTGTATCGTCTGTGACTGTTGACGACAAAATTGTACGATTGCGCAAAACGGGGATTATTTTGACTAGTTCACTGCGTTATTGCAAAAATGTCTAATTACAAATTTGATGCTTTCGTTGCTCTTTCCAAGCCCGTAGGGTGTCTGATTGGTTTAAAACTACAAGAAAACGTTTTAAAAGTGCAGTTTCTGAAGAATTTTAATAATTTTCTTATATCTACGAACGCTAGAATGTGAAAAACTAAAATCAAAAATGTCTAAGCAACCACTCCTTACACCATCTTCGATTATTATATCTTTTTTTTCGTTTTTGAATTTCCACTACACAAACTGCAGCTGCAAAACTTAAATAATACTGCGACAATTTTGTTGTACGATTCAGTTGTACTGCGCCGTTGGACCGTGAGTGGCGGACTTAAAAGTAATAATAGATTAACTAGTGACTTTAAGATGCCCCGATATGTAGCCCCTCTACGGTCATAGCTGAACTACCGATATTAGACGGCAAGGAACTACGGAACTTATCCAGACGGTAATAGTTATAAGAATAGACATGCCGTTTGTGTCAGATGATACTCCAACGCTCTGATTTTGATTTTTCAATTGAACACCCGTTATTTGCATTATTCAATAGTAATACTTTTAGAGTACTTTTTTATTGTAAAAAATTTCTCTAAAAGTATATTTATTTCTTAAAATATCAATTGAATGTTACATAATGATTATTTTATTTTAATTGGCACAAATTAAGTTTTGTAATCGAATGTGAATAAATGCTGTCATAAAATGCTTATTTTTTTTTTAAACAAAATAGTTCCTTCTTCTGCACCTTTAGAGCGGATGTTTAGCAGATGAAGCCAATTTCTTACACCAAGAAAAAATTATTTACGCGACAACACATTTATTTTGAAATATTATTAATTTTAAAAGATTCATTAAAAAATAAATAAAAACTTGTTATCAGTCGTTTTGTTGGCCAAAGTTTCAAAAACTATGTGTTTTTTTTAATCTATACTGATTTCCATAAAAATACGAACACCTCGAAGGAGTTTAGCCATTTTGTTCATATTATCGGATCCGATATGGGGACAGTCAGGAACAAATTATTAAAATTTCAAAAAAAACCATTAACGTTATCTTACCCTTTTTACCTTTTAAAAACAACGTTTCGGCTAGCAGAATTTTGCTTTGCTAGTTGATTTGCGTTAGTTGTGTAGAAAATTTTAGGGCTACAAAGTGAAAAATGCGACGTCATCAATTGAGTGAGTTTGTTGTCGGTATAAGAGAAGCCGGTTTTTCAATAATGCAAATTTCGGACCGTATAGGCCGTAGTGTTTCAACAGTGTTGCAGTGTTGGAGGAGGTGGTCTGAGCAAGGAGTGCATGAGCGAATTCGTGGATCTGGTCGTTCCCAATGAACGTCAGCACGCGAAGATCGTCATCTAGGAATGGCTGCCCTCCGAGACAGACGTTCATTAATTGCAATTGATTGGATGGGTGCATTGGAGCATAGGATCTCTATGTTATCATTTTATCGCCGAATAAGGTCGTTTGAGTTGCGTTCATATCGACCATTTCTTTGCCTCCCATTGACACCGAGACATCGTGCTCGTAGGTTGCAATGGTGCAACGAGCGACCAAATTGGGACCACGAATGGAATCGGGTAGTGTTCTCAGACGATGCCCGTTTTTGTCTTTGGGCTCACGCAGAAGTGTGAGGTGATTACGTGGAGAACGCCGAAATTTGAATTTCGCTGTTGAAACACCATACAGCTTTCATACAAGGCGTGATGGTTTGGGGGGCAATAACGCAAGGTAGCAGGTCCCTTCTAGTTTTCATTCAGGGAAATTTGAATGCAAGAGGATGCATCGATACAATACTGGAGACGATTGCAGTTCCTTACTTCAGAGGGTTAGATCGACCTCTATTTCAGCAAGACAATGCACGCCCACTACGGCAAGAGTCACAACGGAGTACCTTCAACAACATAATGTTGAAAGGCTCCCCTGGCCTGCTCGTTCACCAGATTTGACACCAATCAAACATGTGTGGGATATCATGGGCACACGTCTAGGTAACTTGCAGCATCCCTCGAATAATTTAAATGACCTTCGTATGCGTCCTCAGGAAGCTTGGGACGATATCCCACAGGACGCCATAAACCATCTCCTTTCAAGCATGCCTCGCCGAGGAAATGAGTGCATTAGAAATCAAAATGGACCCACACATTATTGAATAAATTTTTTATTTCACAAGTTTTAGGCCTGTTATTTTAATAATTTATTTGGTTAGATTTACTGCACATTTGGTGAAACTTTCAGTTTTATCAGTCAACTAATCAAGGTGTTCCGATTTATGGAAATCATTATATATTTTTGGCGCACGAACGCCGACGAACATGTTTTAATGATGATTTGCAGTTGTTAATACCATAGAAACTTTGATTAGCATAGCCAAGAATAGACTGATAAATTTGTAAATGCTTATTTTTATTAATTTACTTGTAAGAACATACTTCAATTGTTACTGTTATTATAGTTACAATAAGTAAATGGTTATGCTGATAAAGTAAGTAGGTATACTAATAGCATTAGCATATACTTGAATTTTATTAGTATATTTAGCAGTATCTACTTACAAAATTTGTGCTGTGAGTATAATCCATTCTGCAGTCTTGTGCTGCCTCATCAGATTTGAATAATTCCAAAGAGTTGTACTTTCTCTCAACATAAGATATCGCTCTCTTGGCTTTATTGAGAAACCAGGGCGGAATTTTTTTAGTGAAAACAGACGTGAGCTTTACTTTAATTCCATTCTGAAGGCACTTTGTTCTTGCATCGACAATTTCTTGAATTTTGGGCCCCATGTGCTTCAGCTTAAAAAGTTTTTCAATATCATCTTCTATGCTTTTGGCAGTGATCCTTTTTCCGTCTTGATGTTCCTTATTCTCCTTAAGAAACTTTATCAATTTATCGTGGTTTTCTAAAGCTGTCAATAGTTTGTGAACGACTTCGAAATTATCTTTGCCTCCAAGATGCCTCTCTCTGAAAAGACAATTAATTAATAGTTTTAGAAAAAAAATTGAGCGGAAGTAATTTAGAGCGAATTTTCGGCGACATAGAGAAAATAAGACAAAAGACAGACGATAGGAAACGGAAGAACGTAAATACCTTTTAAGTGATAAGTTGAGGTACTCCCTATAAGTATCATATGCAGTTGTGATGAGATTGTTTTCCAAAAAATGCGCAAACTTCGCAGTACACTCGCTGATGTACTGCTCCTCCTCGATGAGTTCGTGCTTTTCCTGCACCAAGCTCTTGATGAGTTCGGTTAGCTCTTCGAGCTCTTTTTTTTTGCTCGTAATATTCGTCTGCACACTTTTGTCCACGATCTGCTTTATCACAATGTCAGTTTCGTAGTAGATATTCATGTGCTGCGAACCAGAACATTTGCAGTGTTTACAAATAAAATCAAAAAAACCAATTTTGCTGCAAAACCTGAGACTCCAGTGTCCCACTTTTTCGTAGTTAATTTTTCCTATCCAACACGGATCCAGACATTTCGTTTTATACCGAAACTTTGTTATGTTTCCGACCTGGAAAATGTGTTAGTTGTACACAGAGTCAGAAGATGTAGCCAACAGAGATTTTTCTTACCCTGACTTGATCTATACAACTCAGGTTTGTACAAACCAAAACCGGATGGTCGAGACTAATTACTTCCAAGTCGACGGTTGGTGTATTTAGTTTTTCCCTTAGTTCAGTGATGCTTAAGTCTGTGTTCTCTGAATCTTCCTCTTTTTTTTCGAGTTCCATGATCTTTTGTTGCAAGAGCTGAAAAATGTCGGACAATGGTTTCGATAATCCAAGAACCAAATGCCTCGTTTTGTTAATGCTGACGGTGTGCCTTACGTCATGCGGCTCCAGTGCTATAACGTAAGCCATGAATCTAAAAAATTAACCCAAAGACGATTTTTTTATTATTACAGAGATAATTCGGTTATAAAAATGCGGGTAATGCGTTATTCAAAACAGCGGCCAGGATAGATTTGGTAGATGAATTATATAATAAATTAAACTTGGCTTTCGGGAGAGCTAATGGGGATCATCTGGAAAAGTTATCAGATTTATGAATCAGATTTGTATAAATATAAAAATCTGATAAATCATGGGAAACTTGGAATACTTGTGAAGTACACGTCAAAGATTGCTTCGACAGAATTTCCCTCGCCTCTGAAGCATATCCCAACAAATTCCGGTTCTTTGAAAAATTATAAGAATTTTTTGCGACTTAGCTCAATATTATCCAGTACTTTCGAAAAATTATAAAATTTTTATTTTTTGATGATAACCCTTATCTTTATATTGTTACGATTGACGGGCGAATAATTAATGGGGCGTAGGTAACAACTCGACAATTTATTTCTATAACTGGTATTTGCACGAATAACTGCGATTACGTACAAAACAACTTCGCAACTTAAATGCACTCCACTCTTGACTGAATAATAATAAATTTGTTCCCGACGGTGGCCTCTATTTAAACCTATGCGTGCCTCTCGATGGATCCAGAACGCCGTATCGAGAGTCTTCTGGGCCCGCAATCGAGACTTCCGCTTGCATCCGCGCTGTCCATGAGTCAGACTACATACGAGAAGCAACGCGTAGATGCTAGAAGACGCATAGGCGTCGTACGGGGGCGGCGTATGGACTTATTTCGTAATTTCGTAACAATATATAAAAGGCAATGTCCCGACTCACCTATCAACGCCCAGCCCAAATCGGTAATGCTAGAAAGTTGAAATTTGGAGAGAATGTTCATTTTATACTGGATGCATCATTTAAGAAGGGATTTCTCGAAATTCATCCCCTAAGGGGGTTAAAAGAGGTGAAAAAATTTGTATAGGACCAAAATGTCTATTATAAATTTACATCGTTACGTGAAACCTGGTATATTTTAATTCTCTTCAATACAAATAAGGAAATACTTATATAAGCATTTTCGGAGGTTCGACCCCAAAGGGGTTGAAAAGTGGTGTTTAAGTTCGGCGCCTAAGTTTGTATGGGAACAATATTTCTACTATAAATTGAAATTTTTACGTGAAACTTGGTATTAGTGTTCTTCAACACAAATAATGAAACCCGTTGTGATAACCCAAACTTCCCGCCTCTAAATTGACCTTGAAAAAGTTTGAAAGGCCCACGAAAAATTCAAAATTCAAAGTTTGGTCTTGGCTTTGAACTTGTGCAAGTAAAAATATTATATGAGGATAAAACTTTAGAGAGGGAGCATTTAATTGCTCATTTAATTAAGTTTTACTATATTGAAGAAAGAAACTTTAATTCTTGAATTGAAGAAAAATGATGAGCGATTTTTTAAGCAAAATGCCTTATGATTGGTAGCACAGGAGGAGTTAGTATCTTGGAGAGCAGAGACTCCTTCTACTTCTGTACCTTCGACATCTAAACATTCAATACTTTCTCTAGTGGGCCGACCTAGAGTATCATTTGAAGTTTAGACATAAAAAATGGCAAGCAAGAACCGCTGACAAGGCAGGTACAGAAGTACGAAAAAAAAAAGAAGATGTGGTGTGGTGGGACACCAGGTAAGAACGAAGTTCCTTCGGCTAATGTAGAATCGACACAATTTGCAAAAAAAAATCGTGCTCAATTTTATGTAGGTTTTCTTGATTTTTCTCTTAAATTTTGCTGATTAGTTTTTATTTAAGTACAGGAAAGTATTTAGGAAATTCAGTATTTTAGGAAATAATAAATTACGTAAAATAAGTAGAATTATCAATATATATATATATATATATATATATATATATATATATATATTTAAATGTTTGGAATTGAAGGGAGAATTTGTTTTAATTATTATTTAAAAAAGGATGAGAGAACGAAATGAAAGAGGGAGAAAGAGAAAGGTATTATTATCCACTACTCGCTTGTGTATACGACTGTCGCGCCTGCGCACGTCTCATTTAACGGTTTTATTCCACGGACTTTTTCTTACGGTTTTACTATCCCATTTGTTTCAGTTCGGTCGCGCAGCAAAATCCCTATCTCCAAGCCTGCCGTAAGGAACTTCGTTCCAAAAATTCAAGAGGAATTTCGTAGCAAGCTTGGGTTGATTGTGGACCAACCGCGGGCAGGAGGAAGCGGAACATCTAATGGGAACACTGTAAGGCGATTTTTTGATACTCCCAAAATTTCAGCAGAGATCACCGGAGTATAGGAAAATTTAATCTACAGTTTTTCTGTGATTTTTAAACAATTGCTTGTGGAGAAGAAATACAATTAGAAGCATACAATGCATACGCCATTGAAACGACGAAAATATTTTTCGACGAATGATTAAAAAAAATAATGACTGCGTAAATTTATTTTATTGATTTATTCAGGAACTACAAAACCGAATTTTTTGAAATCTAATGCAAAAAAAAACATAATAGGCATGCAGTCGTCACGTTTCCGACAGCGAGGGAAGTACTGTCTAAACTCTTTGGACCAATTTTTTTCGTCATGTCGTCGGCTGAGAATTATTTTGAACCAAGTCCCTAAAAACTTTGTCATGGAAATTACCCATCAAAATTTTAATCGTGTGCTATAGATTTTGTAATGCAAAATAATACTTACCATTACTACTAAATATTTTAATTATTGTCGTATTTATTGCCATACTACTTGGCATATCCATAACAACAATAATTTCAGAATAATGCAAAAAGTGAAAATGGACTTGGTTCAAAAGTGTGCAAAAAATATGACTAGAATTTTGTTTATTGAACCATGTCCGTTGTAATAACAAGAATGAATACATACATATCAAAACAAATTTTTAATTTAAGATAATACAAAATATTTAATATTTAGGTAAATAACTGGAAACATTATTAACTTCATTTAATGGAAAATTTGTGAAAAATCTACTAAATATGTACCTATTATAAGAAATTTAATATAAATATTTCTCGTAGTATGTACGACCAGTTTGTGCCATATATTTAAGCATAGCTTTAATGTCATTTGCCTTCTTTTTTCCGTCACTGGATGGAAATTAATAATTAAAAAGCACGAAATTTCTACAAAATGGTGTAATTTTTCGGAATGAAATACTTCATCATGTTTTAAGCAAATTTCTCGTTGAAAAATAAGGATTTTACAATTAAGCTCCACCCCTCGGCTTATGACGAATAAAAAAATCATCAGAAGTGAGATAGGGGGGGTGGACGGTACTTATATTTTGCCTTTTTTTTAATATACATAGCCATCTTTTCACAACAAGAAACTTAGAACATAGTTAAAATGGCAATATGGATTTTGCAACAAATATTTTTACTATTAAAATTACTCTTATTTAATAACACAAATACAACCAGCGGGTCTACCGGACCTGGGTTGCTCAGGTACACAGATAAAATGCATTGCCCCGGATAAGCGTAAAACGCAGTGAATAGTGAATTGTGGTTTATGGTTTTTAAAATACCATCTTACCATGGCTTAGATTTATTATTTATTTATTACCCCTCAGGATTATATTTAAAGATGTATAAGTACTAAAGGCTACAATGTAGAAAATGATGGTATTTAAAATATGAAAATTTTCGTGACAGAACACTATTAGTGGACCTCTTACCTCTATTTTTGTTTATGTGACCAAAATCACCAACATGAAGTATCAAAAATTACTACTAGTATAACTCAACTAATAACTACTAAAAAAAAGTGAAATAAAAAATGTATCTGTATTTACGCCATTAATTTTGTATCTAGATACAGATATTTTGTACTTGAATCCGATTGTATCTAGATACAGATACTAGATACCCAAAAATGTATCTAGATACTTTTTTTAGATACAAGTATCTAGATACTGCCCAACACTGATGGCTAGTAGATAATGCTGGATTTTGATATGAAATAGGACATGGTACCATATAATTCTACAAAATCGAACGAAATAGGACTTGGTTCAAATAAATACTTCAACTAATTGCTTTTACTGTAATTGTAGAAAGTTATGCCCTTTCAAAAGACTATATTTTCATAACAGGAGACTGTATGATACAAAACCTATTATTTAAGAAAAAATGGACTTGGTTCAAAATAATTCTCAGCCGACGATGTGTTCTCGAGTTCGAATCATACATGTGTAGCGTTTAATTTATCCGTTTTCTTCGTTACGTTGGGTGTGAACAGTTAGCGCCGGCAAAGAAAGTAATCTTTAGTTCTACCACATGTTCTCGTTTGCAGGTGGCACGTTTGGTTTGCGTCAGGTTTTGGTCGTTGGGGAGGATTTTTTCGATAAATTACCGTTCGTTTTTATGATAATTATTCTAATGTTTCCTTAATTTGCCGGTTTAACTCTTTTGCTTGCGACATGAATATTTTATGTGCGTTTTTGGAAGTTCCCGAAATGAAACCTTTTTAATTTAATTTTCTTGCAGTTGATAGTTTTATGTTGAATTTTTGCCGTTTAAATATGATTTCGTTCTCTGATTATTTTGCCATAGTATTTGGAAACCTCGCATTTTATTTTAATTTGATCATCTCACTGTATTTTAGCGCATTTATGGTACTAATTTCCCAATGTTTATCTGCATTTAAAGACTATGACTGTTCATTTTTGCATGTATTTAACTGTCCCGTAACCGTTAATTTTTCTCGTGAACAAGTGTTGCGCTCGGCGAATTTAGCTAATCAAAGAATGTAAAAAAAAATCATTTATCTCTCTTTTTACATGTTTATATTCATAAGTTGTCGTAGATTTAAGTCCATGATTTTATTTTTTTTATTCGTTAATTTTAGTTGTTCTCATTATCAGTGGAGATTTCTCTGAATCCACTGAATTAATGGTTTTATTATTATTTTAGTTGTTTTAATGATTTTAATTAGCCGATAGATGCCCAATCCCAGTTTATTAAATAATTAAGTAAATACTCGATTTCATAGTCAGCAGTTTTCTAAGTTTGTTTATCACGCTCGTAATATTAATATTGTTTAGAAGGTATCGCACTTAATTAGGGGTTTACCGAATTAATTTTAAGTTTTGCATGCTGACTTTTTGTAGGATTAAATTTAATTAAAATCGTGGGTTATGCTCATAGATTTTAAGAGTTTTATTAGTGGAATACAATTGCGTAGCGCTTTAGAAGATAGTTTTGCATGTTGTTTTTTTTTTGTGTTATGTGTAAATTTATTTTCATATTTTATTTTTCCGTTCATAATTTACACATTTACTCGATTATTCTTTTGATATGCTTATAATTCTTTCTTTTAATATATGTATCAAAATGTTAGAAATGTTTAATTATTATACCTCTTCCCCTACATATGCAGTTTAGCTCTTCCATTTCCAAGGAAATGGGCCTACACCCAAGTACAGTTAGTGTCCAAAAGCTCGGCCGCGGTCAAACTATTTGGGCACCACAGTTTGCATTTAAGCGACAGACTAGTAACTAATCTCTCAGATAATTTCTCAGTTCTTAGTTGATAAACGTTCGCCCTTTCGATGACAGTAATGGACCATTCCCCAATTTAATAAGTTAAATTTTCCGTATAATGGCGGAGTTCTTGACGTACCTACGTCGTACTTGTAACGCAGTCACCCTTTATTTAAATAAAATATTGAATTTGAATAAAACCTTCCTTACAGTATTTTATTTAAATAAAGGGTGACTGCGTTACAAGTACGACGTAGGTACGTCAAGAACTCTACGTAAGTGCCCTATATCGTGCGTCATGATCTTCTGTCATGCGCAACCCTGCGCCCTTTGCGTATTCTCGACCCTTATCGAGATACCAAGGTTAAGTGGTATCAGAATTATTCTTACATAAGTATGTTATTTCACTGAGATATCTGTTACTTTGACAAAATCCATGTTCAAATTAACTTTATAATCGACTAATGCGTGCAACCAATCCAAAGGCATGAACATTTCAAATAATAATAATAATAATAATAATAATTTATTTACGGAATATAACTCCACTTTACAAATAAAGGGAAAAAAAAACAGTGATTTCTTGACTCCACGATACAGTACAATATTAATACAAATTAAACAAATAAAAAGTTGAAAATGAAACTAAATAAGATATGAATGTTTTACACTGATTAAACGCAACCTTACCTTCATTTATTCAGTGTCAAACTCGACATTTTAAAAGTCCCAATGTTGACAATTTATTAGAAATTTAATTATTGATTTTGTTTAATGCATTAATCGTCTGGATATAATTAAAACTATTCATATAGTCGTTTAAATTTGCAAGTTTAACGCTCAAACATGTCTCCTAGGAAAATATCCCTCGCGCTCGTGATAATTTTCTTGGAAATATGTTTTCGGGATAACCTTTTATTTAATCTAATAGCACTTATCATATAAGGAAAAATTATTAGTGAGATCTTAGTAGTGTGGCGACATGTGTGTACCCCCACTTGCCGAAAGATCGTACTTTCGCGCTATTTGGGGAAACCAACCAGTGGACGGAAATAGCTTCTTCCCGGACAAAAGTCCCGCCGGACGCTGAATTACACCTGTCTGCATTGGCGTCACCACTTTCGCGGATAAGCGCCGCGTTCCTTTAAATTTGCAAAGTGATTAATCACACCGAAGGGCTAACTTTTTATTTAATCGAATAGTACCTACTTACTTATCATCAGTACGCGGAAAAATATCTTACGGGTGCAATTCCCCAGTTGAAGTAAGTTGTATTTTACGGCGAGTAGCGGGGACGCTTCGATCTGGTCCACAAGGTTGTAGCCAGTGCGTCTCTAGGAGTGTTTACAGCTAGTAAAAAAACTACTGCTATATTACTATATTACTTCAAATAATAATACTCGGTGCCCTTATTAATTTTTCAACCACAGGACCACAGATTTGTGATCTTGAAATGTTCTATTATGTTAATATAATCCAAAAGAAAAATATATTTGTAATTAAAGTACTGACGCGGCAGCACTGGCTCGAGCGTCTGAGTTATTATTCCGCCCGTTGCTTATCATATAAAGATAAATTATTATTAAGATACATACCGCTGAATTTCCTGGTAAGAAGTTGTCCAGCTGGTCCGACAGCTTTCCATCGTCGTTTTCGCCAAATTTACTTTGTTCTCTAACGTCAGGAACAGTCTAAAAGATTCGTTGTCGAGACAAAAAGTGTTCGCCTTCGATATGCAAATATTCTTTGTGATTTTTGTCGTCAAGTCTAACAAAATGGGCAGCGTGGAACCTGGGGTGTAATCACTGCTTTTGGTGTTCGTGAACAGAAAAACCACGTTCTTGCAGGCGCTCTTGTGAAACTGCGACAAGATCCGTTCCAGGCAATATTGAAAAAATATCGTGCTCCTGTCGTTCGAAGGTTTCATTAATAAACAGATGGCGTTTATATGTTTCAGCTGGTCCAGATAGGCTAAAATTTCTTCGCAGTGTTGTTCGTCCTTTTCCACTCCCTCGGTGTCCCCAAACCCCGGAGTGTCGATCAGGCGGATGAGTCTGTCGTCCGCTGGGAATAGGTACATTTTAACTGACTGGGTGGCCGACGAACCTACTTGTTGTTTTTCATTGTCATCTTTGCCCACTTCTATGGTTTTCACATCTTTATTCGCGTCGTAGATTGTAAAGTGTGTTGGTATAAGGACAACTGTTTCCTTTTTTATGGCCTCGTCGAAGGTTTCGCTGTTCAGGTGGTTGGCGAAGGCGTTGATGAATGTGGATTTGCCTACGCCGGTTTCGCCAAGAAGAAGGATGTTGATGGTCTTGGAGTTATCTTCGATGTAGTGATTGGCGCTGCTGTCACTAAATCCCTGCGAAAAATTAAGTGTCTTTGATGCAGTTAATGTTTTGAAAAACTGAAGAAGCACGGAATAAAAATGGAAATTGGTGTTTTATTTTGAAAGAATATGACATAATTCTGCGTGTGGGATGATTTCCGAAACTACTGGCTTCAGATTTGTGAAATTTTAGATATGATTTTGAAAAAAAAAAACAGTGTAGAAAGATTTTACAATCGTAGAAAGTTCAAACCATATCCCATGAAATCTTCTTAACGTTTTAAAATTATCGCTAGTATGGTAAATTGTTATTCAAAATTTATCTGATTATCCTTCGTTAAGATAGTGGCAGAGTGACACCATCTTTTGAAGCAACACAATAATTTGATAAACTTATCAGCTCATTGTTAAAAATATCGGCAGATAAAGCATTTAAACCGATTAACATGGACTTTATAAAACAACTTGTGTAATTCAATTTGAAATCTACATTTCTTTTGCTAAAATAAAATGACATGCCTGTATGTATATACTCGTATTTCTTAAAATAATCCCACCGATTTTTGTGAAGAGATTAATTAATAAATTTGGATTATACGATCACAGCTAAAAACAATAAGAAAATGTCTGACCAAAATTCCAAGGACGTCGGTTTAATAATTTCTCTTAAATTTAAGCATTGTCGTTTAGACAACAGACGCTAAAAATTAACAAGGAAAAGTTAAATCAACGTTAGTTATCTAAATCTTTCGTAACTAAGTTCTTCACTCTTAAAAATTTCCAATTTAAATTTCCTAAACGGAGAATTATTGACACAACGATATGAGATTGACACCTACAGTTATAGCGTTTTATTCTTTCATCTTTCAGGACTATAGGACACAAATTATTGATCAAACCACCCTCGTCAGAGCCATCCCAATTAAATAAGCTCTTAACGAAAAAAAAAACCGCATTGAGATCGGTTCAGGCGTTTGAGAGCCTACAGACATATACACACATGCACACATACAGAGACAAAGGAGTCAAAGTTATAACACACCTCCTTTTGTGTGGGGCGTTAAAAATTAAAAAAGACAACTTACCAAATCACTACCTTCATTTGCAGTATCTTTCTTTTCTCCTTCTACGGTATTAAATGTCGCACCAGGTACATTTTTTGTTGTACTTTTCTTTCGGGTGGTCGATGACATTTTGAAGGGTTATTGAAGGTTCCTAAAACATTTGAGGTATGTGCGTAGTTGTTATCTTAAGATAAAATTACCCAAGGAGAATTCGTCAGTTATCTAGTTATTTTGTTTTTCTTGTGTATCTACTGATTAGCGGCTGCCATCATTTTTCGTAAGAGATTATTTTTGCAGAATTTGTTGTTGGCAAAAGAATGTTAAACATAGGTATTTTTACTACGAGTAGTACAGCTTCCGAGTGAGTTGTAGACACCCCTATAGTTGTCAATTCTATTGGTTTATTACACTGCTCTGAATGCTCTGACTTGACAAATGAAATTTGTGTTTCACACTTCAGCCAAAAACCCTTTACTTCAGAGATTAAAATAAATTTAACAACGGTAGCGAAAGGGTAAATTTGCAATTTTTACTTGCTGTTTATAACTGTGCGCGACCAGGAGTACACGACGATTACAAATTAGAGATGTGACCAACATCAGTGAGTGCGATATTTAAACCTACGGTACCACGTATACAGGAGCACAATACTCCGCAGAAATTAGGAATATCTTCACCTTGTTGATTACTCTCCAAATTCATCTAGAATACCTTCATTCGTTTTTTTCTGTCGAACAAACATGAGATCACTTGAGATACAGATATTTCTCTTAAACCTGCTTATATTCAGACTATTATTAGCATTGTTTGGCGTTGCTAAAATACATCAATATATCATCGAATAAGATACTGGTTTCAGTATCTTATCGAATGAGATACTGATTGCTAAGAGTATTTCATTGTTTTACGAATTTACTAATAAACCACTATTTATTATGAAAATGTACAACGCATTTATGAAATTCAGAACCAGTCAATGGTCCTTGAAGTTCAACATCACATGAAGACACACTGACAGAAGAATCTATTAGTATTTTTCGGGCAATTTTTATCTTCTGCTCTAAAGAATCTTCCACGTAGCCTGTTGCCACTTTATCAGAAGACTATCCACCAAACCTTTTAAGCGTAGTCATGTCAGCTCCCTGGTCCACAAACAACGTCTGTTGACCTGTCCCTCAACCATTGCTTAAACAGTTGATATTCACGGTCGTATAGCTCTTTCGAAGTATCAGGAAGCAAATTCTGCACCACACTTAATGCCTTTTTACGGATTTCTTCTGGAATTTCCATTATTTTTCCTTTGATAAAACTTGATGACATTTTTTTTTTAATTCAACAATTGTTTATATACAGTTCTGTCATAGTAACTGCCGCCAACTACATATTTTGATTTCGAATATATTTACATTTTATGAAGGAAATTAAAGAATATAAGCAGGTATAAGAGAAAATTTAATATTATAATGCCAGTATAGGCTCGTGAGTCAGTATAACACTCGCACAATCGTGCTCGTGTCATACATACTCACTCACCTATACTGGCTTATTTTTGTCACTTGTATAATACATAACTATTACCTTACCGCTAAAAATACCTATGTTGAAGTACATATTTTATCGAAAGATAAAACAATTTCGTTTTATCTAAAGTGCCTAGTATGTGTCTGTTGTTTCTCAGGTTAAACTGTGTGACCTTGCTAACTCAAAATGATTAATTTCGCTGCCGTCGAGGATACGCCCAACACAATCAACATCCTGCTGATGGGCGAAACTGGCGTCGGAAAATCAACTTTCGTCAACTCCTTCGCCAACTACATTCGCACCGACAACTTCGAGAAGGCTAAAAGATTACCAACTACTCACGTGCTCATTCCCACCCTCTGCACCGTCTACGGCACAAACTGTATGGAAGGCCAAAACCTGACCGTCGGCTCCGACGACAACGAAACGCAAGACGTAGGTTCCTCTGCCACGCAGTGCGTCAAAAACTATATGTTTCCTTTGGAAGGCGAAAACTTGCTTCTGCGCTTCATCGATACACCAGGACTCGGAGACACGGCGGGTCCTGACAAAGACGACAAACACTGCGAAGCAATTTTGTCGTACTTATCGCAGCTGGACAAGATTAACGCGATTTGTCTGGTGATGAAACCTTTGAACGATAGGAATACGGTGCATTTTAGCTACTGCGTGAGGAGGATTTTGTCGCAGTTGCACAAGAGCGCGTGCGACAACTTGATTTTTGTGTTCACTAATACCAAAGGCAGCGACTATACGCCCGGCAGCACTTTTGCTCTGCTGAAGGAGATGAAGGCAGAACTGGCGTCTAAACCGCCGTTTGTTAACATCCCGTTGGAAAAAAACAACGTCTTCTGCTTAGACAACGAGTGCTTTAAGTACCTGCTGGCTTTGAATTTTCAGATCGAGCTCTTTCCACGCACTCTGGAAAGCTGCGTGACGAGCTGGAAAATTTCCTGCGAGGAAATTATAAGGTAATTATATAATAGTATAAATGTAACAACTAGTTTTTGATTTAAATTAAATAACTATCTAACAGAGGTTTAACGTTTCAGGTTTATCAGATATGTTCAGAATTTGCCTGCCCACAATGTGAAACAGACTATAAGCATAAACGAAACTAAAGAACTTATTCTGAAATTGTCGAAACCGCTGTCCGATATTTGTCAGTTGATGCATGAAAACATCATTATTTTAAAGACGAAAGAACAGGAAACGGCTAGAGCGAACCAAACAATTGAAGAGCTTAAACAAAATTTGTATAAACCTGGAGTCGATATAGAAATTGTAAAACTCGAGCATTCTGCTATGGTTTGCACAGGGTCCAAGTGTGTTGACAAAATAGAGGTAACCACTAATCTCTTCTGGAAAATTTGTACACTAAAACTGAAATGATTTTTAGGTGGGTCAGAGCACGAAGAGTGCCTACAAGACGAGATGCCACGAAAAGTGTTTCCTGAGTGCCGTCACGTACGACGTCGTAGGCCATTGGCTTCTTGCGACTTGCAGCAAGATGTATACATTCCGATCTGCGCCTTCCTGCAAGCACTGCGGCTGCTCCTACAAGTTACACATGATAATTTTCTACGACACAAAACTAGTTGAGAAGCCAGTATTCAGCGAAGATGTTATGTCCGGTATTGATAGCGAAACGAAGCAGCTCCAAAAAATTCAAGAGTGCATCGACACATTACAACGGGAAAAATGCGAACTTCAGCAAGAACTGGATTACATAAGCGAGTGTACTGCGAAGTTTGCGTATTTTCTTCAAAACAACGCTATAACGTCGTCGTACGACAGTTTCCAAGAATACCTTTACTTGTCGCTTGAAAGGTAGACAACTGTTTCACGTAAAAGAAAACACTTTCTTATTTATTTATTTTAGAGAGAAAAGTCTTGGGGACAAGGCTAACCAAGCTGTGATGAACCGTTTGACGGAAATTCTGACCAGACACGAGAATTTGGTGAAGGTACTGAAGGAGAAACTTTCGCATGATGTCGATAGTACAGAAGTGACAGCAGAAAGTCTCTACAAAGATGCGCAAGAACTCTTTAACTTGAAGCATGCGGGGCCCAAAATTAAGGAAATCTTTGATGCCAGAGCTGCTTGCGTGAAGAATGCAGTCAAACCTCCTTTCAAAACTGTTGTGGCCGAGAAAATCCCGAAGTGGTTTTTCAAACGTGGCACAGTGGCACAAAAGTGAAAATACATGTCCAAAATTGTTAAAAATAAACATCTGTTTTTAGTCCCCGACAGAAAACAAGGGGTGTTAATAATTTTGTTTGCTTTTTCTCCCTGTGTGTATGTTTATCTATGGCATTGTAGATCCCAAACGAATGAACTAATTTCAATGCGGTGTTTTTTAATTGAAAGCTCATTTACTCTGGATGGTTCTTAGCTATATTTGACGATAACCACTTCAATCATTTCAAAATTATCAGTGTTTTTGTCTGTTGCACCGTAGCTCCCAAAAGGACTAACCGCTTTCAATGCGGTTTCCTGAAAGGCAAAAAAGAAAGAGCAGTAACTGCACATGTAGACTTCAAATAGGCTTTTTATAGATGACGTTTCTATAATACCAAGTCATTCTGTCGGTAATTCTTCGTTTGATCGAATGTTTTATTTATAGGCCGGCGGAGTATAAGTAGTACTTATGCGCCACTCAAACACGCTGTCATAGAAATGACCATGAAATGACACTTAAACCCTGGTAAAAACGTCATATAAGTGTCAGTTATATGACGTTTGAAAATAAATATCTATTATTGCTGCAAATTTTGCCAACTTCAAAATAATTTTGCCCTTTTGAGGTGACATAAGAAAGCTCCGCGTTGCCTCACCTTGTATAAATAAAGAGTGTGTTTGTAAAGTTTGAAGATAAGACCCTCAAAATTTGAAATCTGCCTTTTCACCCCGTTTCGAATTATTTGGCAATTAAGTGAGATTATTTTATCAGTTAACGTATTACAAACATGTTTCCATGATTCAGCCTAAATGACGAATGCGATTTGTGAATAACGGCTACCCAAAATATGTATATAATTCATTTATTCCTTAATTAACATTAAAATTCAAAAAATATCACAGATCCACAAGGTTTGTGGTTTTAAAAACGTCAACACAAAGTGTCACTGCAACGGATTATGTTCAAAATAAAAGTTGGTTGGAAATAAATAAATAGAGCTTTTGGCGAAGTGGCCTAAAAACCCACGAATAGAACGTTTAATAACTTTGACCACTGAGTGGCTCATTTATACAATTTAATACATGTTAGCACAGACAGTATAAAAATAATCAAATACAATAAACACACTGACGGGCAAAAAAACCCGGCCACCCTGAAATATTAATTTATTTTAATTTCTTAAAGTGGTTTTGCGAAATATTTCAGTGCGGTGTATAAAAGGTAAAATTGCAAAATCTAATTCATAAACTAGTTTGGTATTTTTTCAGTAAATATTGACTTCAGCCCAGTTTTATTATTATTATTATTATTATTATTAATAAAAGATAAAGGGCAGAGGGCAAGCTTTGTTATGCCCACAGAACTGTACAATTACAACAATATGTTAACAATTCTATAAACTGTCAAATCTAGATTTAAAAACATTAACATTAGGACTTCCTCCGGCAACTTGTTCCAAGTGTCAAACACTCTGTTACGAAATGCTGTCTTACAGTTGTGCGAAAGTTCTTTTTTTCAGTTTGAAGCAATGACCTCTAGTTCTGGAATATGGGCATAAGGTAAATAAATCCTGCATCGATGGATTCTCGAGCCTCAACGATTTGAAGGTGAAAATTACATCCCCTCGAATTCTTCTGTCCTTCAATGTGGGTAGCGACATTATGATAAGACGCTCAGAATAAGACGGTCGGAAAGGGTTGTTACCATAGGGAAGACGAGTCATTCTTTGTTGTACTGACTCCAAACTAAGTATTTTGATCTCCAATAAGCACAGGCCACCAAACGTTAAAATTTTTATACAACTTTAACGTGGTGCTTACACTTGGTTTTATAAAAGATCTTTGTAAGAAATACCCAAGGAATTTGCTCTTTTAATGACACTCACGATGTGATCACTCCATGTCAATTCTGAGTTTACTATTACACCCAGATCCAATTAGAAATTAGTACTGATTAATTTGAACCCCTTCTGTTCGTTTGACCAGAGATAATAGAGTTACGACAGCCTTTGAATTCTCCATAACAAATGCATGGGAGTGAAGCGAACACGAAATATGACAAAAAGGACCGTTGGGAGCGCAAGATTTGTGTTGGTAAACCTAATATTACTAAACGTGACATAATATGATGCGATGGTTAAAAATTATATTTAACAAACAATATATTGTTACTAAGCACAGGAACAGTTCTATAAAAATAACACTGATAAGTAAACCGATGATTTTCTACACCTATAACTAATTATTAACTCATTGGAACTGGTAAATGCTCTATGAATGGGACAAAATGATTAATTTCCTGTGTTTTATAGGTTGTTTCTGCAGTACCCTATTATGGAATTTCAATGTATAAAATATACTCAATCAAATGAATTAATGAAAGCATGAGAAAATTAATGACTTCGTATACGTGTTTAATTTATATAACTTGACAACGCAGAGTTGAAACTCCATCCGTGCGTCCCTGGGTCGATGCACTCCTTTTTTGTTCAAAGAAGTTAAAGGAATCCTGCGAACCATTGGTGTTTTGGTTTTGAAAGCATTTGAAATAATCTTGAGGTCTCTAGATCCAATTGAATTGACGTAATAGTTTGATAAACTTAACGGCTTATTTTCATCCGTGCATCAAGTCACGTATGCTTCGCTGAATTCTCGTTCTTATCTTTGTTATCTGTTACAAACTGCCCACGTCGTTTGATCGGTAATTTACCCATTTCTGGATAAATACTCAAATCTATAAAGCAAATGCAGGTAACAAATATTTCGTAACAAGGAATCAAGTTTACCCTTTCTGAGAGTAAATTTCAACAGTCAAACGGAAAGCAAAATAAGACAACTCACCGACTTATCCACGGGATCTACCCTCCTAGTCTCTTCCTTCCTAGTCTCTTCCTTTTTTTCTTCGAAGGGTTTCGACGTCGCGCCGTCGGTCGTCTCAGAAATTTCGCTTTTAGCATCAGAGTTTGTTTTCATCTGTTTCAGCAACTCTATTTGATTACGTAATTGCTCGATCATCTCGTCTTTAGTTTTAATCAAAAGATCCTTAAATTGTATAACTTCATCTTTCTGTTTTAGAAGTAGCTGGTAATCCACTCCGGCCAGTTTCGTTGAGGGGTTTTTACACGACGTGCAAGTAAATGTCGAAGAGTTAACAGGCTTACCATCGTTCAGACTTTTGGCACACGTTGGGTGGAATTCACAGGACCACTGGACACATGTAATGGGGGTGAAAACTTTCTTGTTGCACTTTTTGCAGAGTGCATTACTCGTCTTTGAGGTGGTCGGAGCCATTTTGGAGGGTCAGGGAAGGCAGTACCTTGTAGGAGCTTTCATCGTTGTTATCTTAAGATATACTTGTTTACGGAGAAAAAAATCTTGAAAGGAGACTATCAACTGTCAGCTGCGATTCCTCGAATGGATTAGATTTCATTTATCTTCTTTTGCAATACGATCTAAAAACAGTTCCGTAAATCCCCGGAGTTCAAATAAGGAAATATTTTATCAAAAGGTAAACACCTTCGATTCGCTTTTCCCCTCTAAGAGCGCATTATTTGTCCGTTGTAGTCAGTTCAAACGCGTCTTTCTAACCCAAAATGTTCGACATCTCCGAAATCGAGGATTCGCCCAAAACGATCAACATCCTGTTGACGGGCGAAACCGGCGTCGGAAAATCAACGTTCATCAACTCCTTCGCCAACTACATCCGCACCAGCAACTTCGAGGAGGCCTAAAAATGAAAGCCCTCATGCTCATCCCCACCCGGATCACCGTCTACGACGCCAGCTCCATGGAGGACCGCAGCCTGACCACAGGTTTCGACAAGAACGAAAAGCAGGATGTGGGTTCCTCAGCGACGCAGGGCGTCAAAACCTACTTGTTTCCTCTAGAGGGCGAAAACTTGCTCCTGCGGTTCATCGACACGCCAGGAATCGGGGACACAGCGGGTCCTGACAAGGACGACCAAAACTGCGAAGGAATTTTGTCGTACTTGTCGCAGCTGAACAAGATTAACGCGATTTGTTTACTGATGAAGCCCACGAATGATCGAAACACGGTGCTTTTTAGCTACTGCGTGAGGCGCCTTTTGTCGCAGTTGCACAAGAGTGCGTGTGATAATGTCGTTTTTCTGTTTACTAATACCAAGGGTACCGACTACAGGCCTGGGGCCACGTTTACTCTATTGAAGAGCCTGGTGGAGGAAATCGAGACTAGACCGCCGTTTGTGAAAATTCCGATTAACAAGAATAACGTTTTCTGCCTGGACAACGAAAGCTTTAAGCACTTGCTGGCTTTGGATTATGGCGTGGAGGTCAATGCACGCACGCTAGAAAGCTGCAAGACGAGCTGGCAGATTTCCTGCGAGGAGATTTTAAGGTAATTAACTAACTAGTACCAGTGTAAATAACAACCATCTAATTCGTTGAAGCTTGACGTTTCAGGTTCATCAATTACGTCCAGAATTTGCCTCCCCACAACGTGAAACAAACAATAAGCGTCAACGAAACTAGAGAATTTATTCTGAAACTGTCGAAGCCGCTGTCCGACATCTGTCACTTGTTGCAGGAAAACATCATCACTTTAAAAACGAAAGAAAAAGAATCGGCTAGAGCGAATCAGACGATCGATGAGCTTGAACGAAATTTGTATAAACCGGGTGTCGATTTGGAGATTATAACCCTCGAGTATCCTGCTACCGTGTGCACAAACGTCAGCTGTGTTGACACAATAAGGGTGATTATCCATCAATTCGAACGAATTTTTACAATGAAACGATTTTTAGGTAGGTCAAAGTACCAAGCTCGTCTACAAAACGAGATGCCACGAGAAGTGCTTTCTAGGTGTCGTCACGTACGACGTCATAGGCCACTGGAGTCTTATAACTTGCAGCGAGATGTCCAAATTCAAAATTCCGCCTTCTTGCAAGCATTGCGGATGCTCATACAAGGACCACATGACGATTTTCTACGACACCAGGGTGGTAGAGAAGCAAATGATCGACGAAGAAGTCGAGTCCGATCTTTACAATGAAGAAAGGCAGCGCCAAAAAATTCGGGCGCTTGTCGAGGCAGTAAAAGTGGAAAAACGCGAACTCGAGAAAGAACTGGACTACATAAGCCAGTGTGCGGCGAAATTTGCCTACTTTCTTCAAAATAACGCTATAACGTCGTCGTACGACAACTTCAAGGAATACGTTTACTTGTCGCTGCAAAGGTAGAGAAGAGTTTTGTAAAAAAACACTTATTTAAATTGGTTTCAGGCAGAAAAGTCTTGGGGACAAAGCTAATCTGGACATCGTGGCGAGTTTGACTGAGATTTTGACCAAACACGATAATTTGCTGGCGATATTGAAGGAGAAATGTTCGCTTGTCGATGGTAGAGAAGTGACGGAAGAAAGCATCTACAGAGATGCGGAAAGTCTGTTCAACTTGAAGCACGCGGGACCCAAAGTTAAGGAGATTTTTGATGCTAGAGCTGCCTGTGCGAAGAAAGGAGTCAAAGCTCATTTCAAAACTATCGTGTCGGAGAAAATCCCGAAGTGGTTTTTCGGACGTGCTTCCGAATAAATTGAAATATTTACATATTATGTAGCAATTAGTAGAATTGTTTGAGGGTACAAAAATTAACATGTGAACTTAACTTGTTGTAGTTTCAAGTGTAGCTGGATTAGTTTCATTAAAACTAGCTTCGACATGGCTTTGTTCTTTGTCTATATAAACCACGTGGTAGGAAATTTTCTTATTCGAGGTTCACTCTTTTGTTTCTCAAGTTCTAACCAAAGTTTCAGAATGTTTTTAGTCAAATAAGTATATCATAATAACACACTTTTTAACTTCTCACTCGTGAATTGAAAAAATCAAACAAACGGAAACGAAACTATTTTGAAAACAGTACCTACGTATAATAAGTACTAACAACATAACAACTGCACAAGAACAGCGGGGAAGACACACGTATTAATGGCAGTCGGAATAGATCGTAGATCCTCCATTCTCCAGTCGTGGAAGTGCTTGCGTATCAAACATCGATAATTCCGAAGCTTTGTTCTGAACATAAGATACCGCTTCCAAGGCTTTATTGAAAAACCAGGACGGAATTTCTTTAGTGATAACAGACTTGAAGTTTGCTTTAATTCCACTCTGAACGCACTTTCTTCTTGCATCGACAATTTCTTGAATCTTGGGCCACATGCGCTTCAGCTTAAAAAGTTTTTCAATATCATCTTGTATGCTTTTGGCAGTGATCTCTTCTCCGTCCTGAAGTTTCTTATTCTCCTTAAGAAACTTTATCAATTCATCGTGCTTTTCTAAAGCGCTCTGTAGATTGGAAACGACTTTGGGATTAGCTTCTCTTCCAAGACTCTTCTCGCTGAAAAGACAATTAATTAATAGTTTTCGAAAAAAAAAAATTGAGCGAACTTTCGGCGACATAGAGAAAATAAGACAAAAGACAGACAGTAGGAAACAAAACAACGTCAGTACCTTTCAAGTGATAAGTTGAGGTACTCCCTGTAAGTATCGTATGCAGTCGTGATGACATTGTTATCCAAAAAATGCGCAAACTTCGCAGTACAATTGCTGATGTACAACTTCTCCTCGATGAGTTGGTCCTTTTCCTGCTCCAAGCTCTTGATGAGTTCTTCGCGTTGTTCGTTTTCGCTCTTGATAGTCGTCTGCACATTTTCGTCCACGACCTGCTTTTCCACAATTTTAGTTTCGTAGTAGATATTTATGTGCTTCGACCCAGAACATTTGCAATGTTTACAAATAAAATCAAAAAAACCAATTTGGTTGCAAAACCTGAGACTCCAGTGTCCCACTTTTTCGTAGTTAATTTTTCCTATCCAACACGGATCCAGACATTTCGTTTTAAACCGAAACTTTGTCGTGTGTTCGACCTGAAAAATGTGTTACTTAATTGTACACACAGTCAGCAGATGAAGCCAACAAAGATTTTCTTACCCTGACGAGATCTACACATTTCTCAGATTTGCACAAACCAAAACCGGATGGTCGAGACTAACTATTTACCAAGTCGACGGTCGATTTATATAGGTTTTTCTTCAGTTCGTTAATACTTACCTTAAGTCTGCTTCCTTCGATTCTTCTTCCTTTTTTTGGAGTTCCATGATGTTTTGTTGTAAGAGCTGAAAAATATCGGACAACGGTTTCGATAATTCAAGAACCAAATTCTTCGTGTTAATAATAATAATAATAATAATTTATTAACGGAAATCCATTTACAAAATATACATAATGGCAGTAGCATAATACAAAAATAATAATAATTTTTACTTAACACTTATAATTATTATATTCATTAGAAAATACTAAATTAAAAACTTTACTATTTCAAAATTAATCTTTAATTCTTCTTAAACACTTGTTTTGAACTATCAAATAAATTAAATGTTTCATGCTTACAAAGATCATTTACAACTAACATCATTCTCCTCAAGGGGTGATTACGAGCTAAATTTGTGGCGAACGAACTAATTCTAAAAATTTGCTTGCTTCTGGTGTTTCTAATTTCCGGAGGGCTAATATGGAAGGATAATTTCTCTAGAATGGCGCTATTATCAATGGAACTATTGATGACCCCATGAAGAAATGTTAAATCACTAGTTAGTCTACGTGTATGTAAAGTTTGCATGTTGAGGAAAGTAAGAATATTTGAGTATTCTCCTTTCTGATGTTGCTGTCCAAGTTTAAACTCCATACATCTTAAAAACTTTTTTTGGACTTTTTCGAGAGCAGCAGCATCGACATCGTATATTGGATACCAAACGGATGAAGCATATTCTAAATGAGGTCGAACTAAGGAGCAATAGAGGATCTTCAATACAGCAGGAGATAAATCTTTACACTTTCTCCATAAAAATCCCCACAGTTTGAAAGCTTTGGTTATAACAGTAAGGTAATGATTCTTGAAAGATAATGACGAGTCAAATAATACACCAAGATCTTTAACTTCATTAACATGATCGATAACAGTTTTATCCAGTACATAATCGAAATGTATTATAGTCTTCTTATTACAAAATGAAATAGAATGGCATTTGGTAGTATTTAAATGCAATTCATTAGGTGTACACCATGAACAAAATGCATCCAAATCAGATTGAACAAGAAATGTGTCTCGAATAGATCTAATGCAACTAAAAAGTTTTAAATCGTCAGCAAAAAATAGAAAATTACAATGATGAAATACTTGCGATAGGTCATTTATAAATAAAAAAAACAAAAGGGGACCACAGTGCGAACCTTGTGGCACTCCTGACGTTACTTGAAAAGGCTCAGATAGAAAATTGCCTAGCCTTACCTGTTGCCATCTATCACATAAAAACGATCTCAGCCAGATAATCGTTTCCCGTCTAAATCCCAAATGGGACAGTTTTGATAATAAGATCCTCTGATTAACTTTATCGAATGCTTTCGAAAAATCGGTATATACTGCATCCACTTGACATCTATTCCCAAAGGATTCGTTAAGATAAGAATAATATTCAATTAAGTTGGTCAATGTTGATCTCTTAGGACGGAATCCATGTTGCTTTTCAGTCAAAATAGAAGAACTCATCCATGATAACTGTTTAGATACAATTAGATCAAAAATTTTTGGCAACATCATTTGATTACACACCCCACGATAACTATCAACTTGATTACGTTGGCCTGCTTTGTATATAGGGACAATATAACTAATTTGCCATGCATCTGGAAACTTCAAATCAATCAATGACAACTTGAATAAGTTACATATGGGAGGAGACAACGTAAATATACACTTCTTTATAAACAGGCTTGGAATACCATCTGGGCCAGGATTGCATGATACTTTCAGATTTAAAATACTGTCAAAGACATCAGTAATAGAGACATGTAATCCAGGATCGTTAATACTGTTGCTAATAATTGAAGAACAATCATAATCACTAAGTTTATCATGGGAATAGACCGACGAAAAATATTCAGCAAATAGTTTAGCGATATCATGGCCATCTTTAGCAACTTTATGGTTCAAAAACATTTCTGTTGGAATATCATTGCAGCGTTTTCTATCCTTAATAAATTTCCAAACAAATTTGGGATTATTATAAATATTAGTATTAATTTTTCTAATATAAGAATCATAAAGTTTACTACTCAGTTCTTTACACTGGGCTCTTAGTGAGCTAAAATAGTCGTAATCATGGAGGTTTCCAGTTTGCTTAAATTTTTGATGGGCTATTTTCTTTTTAAATGTTAAAGATTTAAGATCTTTATTAAACCATATAGGAAATCTGGAGGAGTTTGACCTAATGATCTTCTTTGGTATAAATTGGTCAATGGCACAGTAAAGAATCTCATAAAATAACTTTATCCTGTCGTCAAGGTTCAAATCACGAAAATAAATATCCCAAGGAACAGAAGCAAAAAACTCGTTATTGAGAATATAATTGCCCTTGACAAAATCAAAAACTTCAATTTCGGTACTCAAAGTATCTCCAATTGAGCCATTAATCAACCATGAGTAAGGAGTATGGTGTAAACTACCAGAAAAAGGAGAATCAATCGCAGTTTTGATTTCCAGGTCACAAAAATTGGAAAATACTAAATCTAAAAATATACCTCTGCTATTGGGAATCTTATTAACTTGATACAGATTCAAAAATGAACACGTGTTCCATAACACTTCCACTACAGGAGAGCAACAAGCTTAACAAGTGTTGTTAAGGCTGACGGTGTGCCTTACGTCATGAGGCTCCAGTGCTGTAACGTAATCCATGAATCTAAAAATTAACCCAGAGACGATTTTTTTATTATTACAGAGATAACTCAGCGACCAGGATAGATTTGGTAGATGAGTTATATAAAAATAAAAGTTGACTTTCGGGGGAGCTAATGTGGATGATCTGGAAAAGTTATCAGATTTATGAATCAGATTTGTATAAATATAAAAATCAGATAACTCAAGAAGCTTGGAATACTTGTGACTTCTCCTTATAATTATAACGTAATAATGTTGGTGAAAACAAAATGAAGTGAACTTAAAAAAAATTGGTCAAAGGTTGCTTCGACAGAATTTTCCTCGCCCGTGAAGCACATCCCGCTTCTTTGAAAAATTACTTTACTAAAACGGGGACGACACTGTAGAGAATAATCTTAACAAATTATTATTAAGATGCATACCTCCGAATTTCTTTGGAAAAAATTTTCCAGCTGGTCCGACAGCTTTCCATTGTCGTCCACAAATCAACATTGTGCTGTAACGCCAGCAACTGTTTAAAAGGTTCATTCTCCAAACAAAAAGTGTTCGCCTTCGTTATGGAAATGTTCCCCGTCAAGTTTGACAAAATGAGCAGCGTGGAACCTGGAGTATAATTACTGCTTTTGGTATTCGTGAACAGAAAAACTACGTTTCTACAGGCGCTCTTGTGAAACTGCGACAAGATCCGTTTCACGCAATATTGAAAATATTTCGTGTTCCTGTCGTTCGAAGATTTCATTAATAAACAGATGGCGTTTATGTGATTGAGTTGGTCCAGATAGGCTAAGATTTCGTCGCAGTGTTGTTCGTCCTTTTCCAAGCCCTCGGTGTCCCCAATACTCGGAGTGTCGATCAGCCGGATGAGTCTGTCGTCCGCTGGGAAATCGTACGTTTTGACTGATTGGGTGCCTGATGAGCCCACTTGTTGTTTTTCGTTGTCATCTTGG